TTATTCCCTTTCTTTCAAAAGATTCAACGGTCAAAGCGTTTAACACCTTTACAGATGCCGGATGGGACCTAGAACGTCGAGAGAAACATATGGAGGAGTTAATGAATACCCTCATGACCCAGGTTGGAAAAGCCGGGCAGGATAGTTTTGGTCTGAAAGAAACTGTTGAGCTGTACAAAACACGAGGTGAGTGAAGTGTTCTGCGATCGACGAGAAAAGGACGGTCTAACAAATGACTTGTGCAGTGAACGAGTTGGAAACATCCAAGGATCAATTGTCGGACAAGAACCTTACCCTACGCGTGGAACTTGAGACGGCCAAAACCCGATTGGAAACGATAGAGAACGTATTAAAAGAAACCCAGGAAGAGCACGAAAACGAATTGGAACGCATGAACAAACGGCAGCGTGTCGAGGTGGATAACGTAAGAGAAGAAAGCAAGAAGCAGGTGGAAGCGTTAAACGCTCAGCAAGAGGAGGAAATTCGCGAACTCAAGCGTCGGTTCGAGCGTGACTTGGAGGACGAGAGAGCTGCGCGACAACGAGAGCTTAATCAAGTCAACTCCCAGACAGTCCTTGACACACAACGGGTGCAAATTGAAGTCGACAAGAAGGATCGAGAAATTCGGACACTGCAGGACGACTTGCAAACAATGCGCGACAACCTCGAGCGGGAGCGGAAGAATACCCAAGATCTTCGCCAGAATCTCGACACTGCAAGCGGCAACAGCATTACTCTTGAGTCGTCAATCCGCGCGTTGAAGGCTAGAATTGAATTCCTCGAGTCTGGGCGAGAGGAACAATCCTCAGCGTTCGAGCGACTGAACCAGCGAATGATGGATGCCCTGGAAGAGACCAACGAAGCGAAGGACAAGCTGCGGAAGGAAGAGACACTCCGTCGAAAGCTACACAACCAGGTCCAAGAACTCAAGGGCAACATTCGGGTATTCTGTCGAGTCCGGCCGTCCCTGGAGACCGAACCCGAGACCGACATCGCCCAGATTGGTTATCCAGACCAGTCAGAGGAGTCGAAGGAGATCAATGTCCTGGGCCCAGAGGAAAAGAGTAGCTTGGGAGCTGTCTCTAGAAAGAACAGCAACTTCGCTTTTGATCGCGTGTTCAGCCCATCGACAGCGAACGGGGAGGTTTTCGATGAGATCAGCCAGTTGGTGCAAAGTGCTCTGGACGGATACAACGTGTGTATCTTCTGTTATGGTCAAACTGGCAGTGGAAAGACGTACACGATGTCCTCCCTTGATGGAATGATCCCTCGGGCAGTCCACCAAATTTACGAGACGGCCCAAGGCCTTGAGGAGAAGGGCTGGACGTACACGATGGAAGGCAACTTCGTCGAAGTCTACAACGAAAACCTGAACGACCTGCTTGGCAGCGCCGATGACTTGGACAAAAAGAAGCACGAGATCCGCCACGACATGCAACGGGGCAAGACCATCATCACCGATGTCAACACTGTCCGGCTGGAGTCTCCCGAGATGGTCGAGACGATCCTCAAGCGGGCCGCAGCCAACCGTTCGGTTGCTGCCACCAAGGCCAACGAGCGGTCTTCGCGGTCTCACTCCGTTTTTATTCTCAAGCTTATTGGAGACAACCACATCACCGGCGAGCGCAGCGAGGGGACACTTAACCTGGTAGACTTGGCAGGCAGTGAGCGCCTGAGCCACAGTGGAGCTACCGGTGAAAGACTGAGGGAGACACAGAACATCAACCGCAGTTTGAGCTGTCTGGGAGATGTGATTGCCGCCCTGGGACAAGGAAAAGAAGGTGGACACATCCCCTACCGGAACAGCAAGGTATGTCACTCTATTTCCCCGCATCTTGATTACTTAGCACTAAAAACGAATTCAGCTTACATACCTCTTGCAATTTTCCCTCGGGGGCAACTCCAAGACCCTCATGTTTGTGATGGTCAGCCCGTTGCAGGCGCACTTGGCCGAGACCCTAACCAGTCTTAAGTTCGCCACGAAGGTGCACAACACACATATAGGAACCGCCAAACGCCAGGCTCGTGTCCGCGATTCTTAAGATTACTGATGATACTTGATACCTTTTGCTTTTCTGTCTGACATATAGTCTGGCGTTCATGCGTTTTTGGGCTCTCTTGGTGTTCGAGGTATTTTGTTTGTTTTCTAATACCACCTCGTTTGTATCTTCTTTTTGAGATTTGTTTTAGCGCAGCGCTGTTTCAATTTATGGATATGACTTATTTGATCTATGTGACCTTCTTTCCGCATTGTTTTAAATAGACATCTCGGTACAGTATAACAAGTAAGCTCGCCTTCTCAGCGCGTCCAAAACAGGAGCTTAGCAGCAATTAAAATGTACTATATTGGACTGAGCAACAAAATCAGCTTTGTCTGAACCTTGAATGGCAGCAAACGTCTTATCCACAAATAAAATCCCCTGAGCCTTTGTCGCCGGAGACGGTCTTATTCTGTGGGTTGATGTCTGGTCTGATTCGGGGGGATTTCGTCCACCTGCCCCGTGGTTGCTGAGAATCTTTTTGTTGATGAGTCGCAGGGCGCAATCTTTGAGCATGTATCCGTTTACTCCCATGGGTGGTCGAGGAATCTTCATGTGGCCTGCTCAGGTCCGAAGATGGATGTTGCTTTGGATACCCTTGCAAAAATATTACCCTCTGCATATCCCTCTAGGAACACAAGACACTGAAGAGTTGTCAGAGCCCTTTCCTGCGACTCATCTGACTGGCCATCTAAGCTGATCTCTGAAAGGCTCTGCCTCGGTGTTATGTGTCACTTCATGGTGTCATCGTCAAATCTAGTGATATATTCAAGTTCTCGTCTTCAACATATTGCGGGACTTTGGGGCTTCCCGGTCCAGGGGGACAGCGCCGCTTAGGAGCTCTCGACGCACAGGCATGTCATGAGCACTAGGAGGGTGAGGAACCCCAGAAGAGGGGAAGTACAGTTTGTCCGCTGGAAAAAAAAAGAAAAAAGAAAAAAGGCATAAGTGACAGGTGTGCGTAAACTTGCTCCAGGTATGTTATTCAACTCGTTGGCATAGACTTTCTGGCATTAGAAACTGGAACATGTCACTTCCACAACTCACCGCCATGGAACGGGTGGTTGAGCCAAATGGTCAATTTTCTCTGGTTGCCATATGCTATATTGGTGCTTTATAGGATGGAAGTCTACTACTGGAAGGGAAGAGGCGAGGATAATGTTTTCGATCATGGGATTCGCTTCAGCGTCCAAAAATATTCACCATTAGTATATATCTTGAAAGCTCGGTCCCGATCTATAATTCACCAAAATACCGATTCATCTCTCCTTCCAGTCGCTGTGACTGGTCCCGAATGCTGTCCTTATTCAGGACACCTTGCTCACAAACCAAAGCGTCCACGAGCGCCAACGGAACCCATTCAAAGTAAATATTCTTCACTTCCACGCGGGCATTGCTACCATTAGCCTTGCTCGCATTGAGACCGTCTTCCAATACAGGAAGGCCCTTGATGCCCTCACTATTCCACCCATTCACAACCTCCATTGGATCATCCTCTTTCTGAAATGAATGCGACTCCTCCCCCTTTAGCCCTATCTTCTCCAAATCGCTTAGCACAATTACCTTGACCGAGGGCTGAACGTGCTTTGCACTGAGGATAGCGGGTAAAGAGCCAGTTTTGTTACTGATGCCTTTAGTAGCAGAAATGCGGTCTGCGCCTATTAGGAGAAAATCGACATCTGCTGCGGCAAGAGCAGCGGAGGCATCGGTGTAGATCGTGATTTTGAGGTTTTTGTTCTGCGAGGATGCTGGGAACCGAGATTTGAATTGGGAATATAGGAAGGATGCGATGGTGACTCCCTCGTAAAGAGGCCGAGATTCGAGGATGCGAAGCTCAAGGGCTTTTACATTTTCCAAAGTTCCAAAGGCGTCGAGGATGCTGTCTCTGATTGTAGAACTCGCGGAGACAGTCATAATAGTGATCCTGTCCTTCTCCTGCTGATTGTCCGATGAGGTGCAACTCGACTGTAGATACGAGACAAAGGCGTCTTTGATCTTCTTCGCTCGACACTTGCGCTCACTCAGGTGGTGGTCGATTGCCCCAAGTATACTATCCCATTTCGCTTCCTCGCTCGTCTGCTGCCGCCGTATTTCGTCCATGTCACCCAGTATCGATATGAGTGCGTTCGTGATCGAAGTACCCATACTCTCGCGACCATTATTTCCCAAATGCCAAGCAGCCATGCGCACCATCATCCACCACTCATCATCAATTCCATCATGCGTCTGCACAATTTCCCGAAACACCGTCAACGCGATCGCTGTCAACTCCTGCGACCCGCTCTGATGGTCTGTCTGCAACCTCTCTAATCCCGCCGCCAGCACCTCTGCTGCACGCTCATTCATCTCGCCCTCGAACCAAATTCGGCGCAGACTCTCATGCAGCCGCGGCACACCTCCGAACTCTTCATTGTCGACTATGCTGTCCAGGTCGAACCATTGCCAACCTTCGTGCTCCCAATCAGTTTTGATTGCTTTCTCACCTAATCCCCCTTCGCTGGTTCCCTTTAGATGGAAAGCAAAGGGATGGATGGTCCATTCGCGGTTAACCGAGGGGTCTGTGAAAGAGAACGGTTTGCCAGTGCGCCAGTGCGACAACGAGGTGGAGTTGAGGGAAGTTTCCTCGGAAAGTTCACGCCATGCTGCTTTGAGAGGAGATTCGTTGGGGTCTATGCTTCCAGAGATTGGCGCCAAGTGGTGACTTCAAATATTAGAGTACGGTACTAGATGCGGGGTGATGGATACTCACCGGTATGTCCTCACTTTGTCACTGCGCCTGAACAGTGCGACTTGAGGTTTTCTCTGTCCCCCATCCGGGAATTTGAAGATGAAGGAAGATACAACGGCACGTCTTGTGGGAGGCTGGGATGGGTTTGGTGTTGCCATTTCCGACAATAACACGATGGTTGATATGTAGATGTGGTGGGATGACCCGTGGATACGATGACCCCGCCAGTCTTATTGAGGTGCTATACCGCTTTTCCCCTGGTATCACTAGAAAGAAACACTACTATAATAGGGGAAGAGGAACAAAGTTCATCATGGTCACATCATGGTCGTATTCTGGAGTGTTGGGTAAGATAAAAACACCATGGCTACATGACGTCAGCACCATTATATATATTCATGCATTCGCCCTAGTACTAATTGCACCCACATACAAAAACACAAGGACTTCAAGTATGCCTCGATATACAGGATCTTGCTTTTGTTGCAAAATCAAATATAATCTGGATCTCTCCTCTCCAGACGATGCTAGAACGTCTCTTTGCCATTGCCGTAATTGCAAGGTCAGTACAACCAAATTCTCAACCAATAGAGCATAAGACTAAGAATTAGAATAGAAAGCATTCGGAACAAACTACGGTTTGACTTCCAAGATCCCCAAAGATGCTATTACTGTCACAGATGGCCGACCCAAAGAGCATGCTGCTGATAATGGCTCGGGCATGGTGATCCATCGGGAGTTCTGTGATAACTGTGGGAGTTTTATTCTGGAGTATGGGGTAGGTATACTCACTTGTATTGCTTACAAGTTTTGAGTAACTCAATTGGCTATAGGATGCTGTTAAAGAACAATTCCGGTATATCTGTGTAGGATCTCTCGATGATCCCGAAGTATTGCCGCCCAAGGGAGAATTCTTTTGCTCGTCGAGGGCCAGCTGGATGCCAGAGGTTCCAGGTAAGTTCACTCCTTAGTATAATTGAGGGCTATATTTCCAGATATTGACTTGTTAGATGTATTTCACAAACAGCAGATCAAGGAGTAATTACTTCTCGCCTATGATGTACTGTACTTTTTGTGTACTATACTCGATTAGCATTGTTAAATCCCTATTCGTTTGCTCTGATTATACAGTTGGAGGTCCATGAAACCTTCGTAAGAGTAATACTAAAGGACCCTGTCAGCTTCATCGTGTACTATCAACATCTATCGATCATTACCCCTAGCGCATAGCTATATATCTCAAGTCACTCCTTGCGAGCTTACAATCGAGGAGCACATCGCTTTCAATCAGTTCAAACAATATGTGGTTAATAATCCGGCCCCATTGGGATACCTCACTGTTGGTATACCGCCCTGTCTATTTTTGGCGTGCAGTGTGTTGTTACTGAGTTGTCAGTCTTGTCCTTCCCAAGACCCTCTATAATGTACACTACCATCTATTATTGTAGTCAAAATATGCACAAAACTTCATAGCAGTAGTAAAAGTAGTATTCAATGGAATAGTACCCTGCACTCATAGCGTGATCGTCCCGTGATCATTGTTGCATATCCAGCTTCACCGTTATTCGTCATGTATACTCCGGAACTAGCGCCTACAGCGTATATCAGCCAACTACAAGAGACCGTCAGCTAAAGCTCTCTTGACACAGTGTTACAGCTCTTGAAATGATCGAAAGCTTCCGTGATCGGAATGTCTAGTTCATAGACACAGGCCGCGACGCAATCAATAATCGCTCAGTACATACTACGCATTCCATCCCAATGACGACTCAAACAATACCAATGAGGTATGCCATACTAATAGATTATTTCAAATCAGAACGAAGCTGAGAGTAAGGGCGAAAGCTTTATTCGACAAACGCGTTGTTCTGTCTTCCCCAGGATCGTCGTGGATGGATGCAAACCGCTTATCTCACCGCAATGCGTATATGTGATCTCCGATGCAGTGTGTAGGATCTGATGCATGATCATTGCCTTGTAGCCGCCACAACTACTATATAGTATGCAAACGCTTAACGAGGCTTTTATGCATTATGCATGTCGGCTTGTCGTACTTGTAGTCGGTCAGAACTAAATACCAAAAACTCAATGGGCAACTGAATCGGGAATTTGGGATTGGTGTGAGCATCTATCCCTATTATGATATGTTCACAGCCAGATTCGTTGATACACAAATAAGCAATGATCTTAACGTGCGAAAAGGCCCGAATTCGAATTCGAGTTGAGATCAGATGCATGATGATGTAGCATCTTGACATGCGTGGTTAGTGTAGACCGACTTTCTTTTCTTAGCCTCGTGCATATGCATCCATCAAAAAGACAAGACGATTCGCTGTCTGCCCCAGAGTTCTTCCTTGACAATAGCTTTCCCCATACATAGTACATCCGAGACATCTAAAAAAAATTTATGCGTCAAACTGTAGGGCTTCATGTAGACAGCAGTTGACAAGGGATACCTTAGGCGATTCTCGGATTACACGGCACTCATGAATTTTTGTCATCACGACAGAAATGCAGTTCTTGGGATACATAGATGCATGAGGTAAAGCCATCCCTTGTAAGTGACCGGTCCATCGGACAAGCGACATTGGACATGTCCGGGTTGGGACATTCAAGCACTTTAGTAGCACCATACTAGTGCCGCAAAGGGCTATTAGCTCACTGTCAGATATCCATTGTAGGGCCATGATCCGCTTCGATGCAATAAATCTCGGAGATATGTGCCCTACCCAATAATTTGGCCACACACTGAGCATTGTAGAGCTTTGGACCCCACGATTCCTCCACACATCAGCATATGTAAGGGGAATACAGAGGCAACGACAGCACACAATGACCAACAAGATGATATTGCATCTATCTAACATGGATTTTGGAACGAATTTCACTGAGTCGAAATGTTATAAATACCTAGTCCTGTTCGCTCGAATCGATGGACAGACCAGAACAATCCATCTCCATCAAACCAAGAAAACAATCCCAATCTTCTTCTCTTCTCTTCGTCTTCCAACCCTCCAAACCTCATTCTCGACCTCTCGTCAAAATGCGTTTCTCTACCGTTATCCCCAGCGCTCTTGTCGGCCTTGCAAGCCTTTCGGCTGCCGCCCCTACCAAGAACATCCCCAGCGAAGGTGCTGTTGCAGACATTGCAGAGGCGGCCGATGCAGCGAACGTTGACAACATCACCAAGCGTGCTGAAGACGCCGCCAGCGATGAGCAGAAGAACCAGAACGACGAATACTTCGTTAACCCCGCTTCCCCTGCTGGCCAGCCCCAGCCCGGCTTCGGCCAGTCCGGTTACGGCACTAACGCTGGTGCTGCTGCTCCTGGCTTCCGCCAGTCTGGATACGCCCCTCGTCCCGGCTACGCCCCGCGCCCTGCCCCGTACGGCGGATTTGCTAAGCGCGATGAGAACGGCGGCGAGTACTTCGTGAACCCCCAGCACGGCCAGGGTGGTTATGGTGTTGCTCAGGGCTATGGTCGCCCTGGATTTGCTCCCGGCACTGCCCCTTACCCCGAGTACGCTCCGGGTACCGCTCCCTACCCTGAGGTTACCAAGCGCGACGAGAACAGCGGAGAGTACTTTGTCAACCCCAACCAGGGTCAGCCCGGTTACGGCCGCCCCCAGGGCTACGGCCGTTCTGGGTACGCCCCGGGTACCGCTCCCTATCCCGAATACGCTCCAGGCACCGCTCCCTACCCTGAGGTCACTAAGCGCGACGAGAACAGCGGAGAATACTTCGTCAACCCCAACCAGGGTCAGTTCGGCTACGGCCACCCCCAGGGCTACGGCCGTCCTAAATACGCCCCGGGTACTGCTCCTTACCCTGAATACGCTCCTGGCACCGCCCCATATCCCGAGGTCACCAAGCGCGATAACAACGCCGGTGACTACTTTGTCCCTGGCCCTGCCGCTCCCGCCACTGGCTACAACGGTCCCGGCTACGGCCGCCAGGGCTTTGCTCCTGGCTCTGCCCCCTACCCTGAGTACCCAGGTGCTGGCCGCTACCCTGGCTTCGCCAAGCGCTCCAACGACGCCCTTACCAGCGAGGACCACGACGGAAACTGGATCGTCCGCCCGTACCTTGAGCCCGAGCATGACCCTCTCTACGTGACCGTCAACCACGTCGGCAAGCGTGAAGAGAGTGCCAACGACTACTTCGTCCCCGGCCCCGCCGCCCCCGCCACCCGCTACAACGGCCAGGGCTACGGTCGTCCCGGCTTCGCCCCTGGCACCGCTCCCTACCCCGAGTACCCCGGAATTGCCAAACGTGACGAGAACGCCGGTGAATACTTCGCTCCTGGCCCTGCCGGCCCTACCGCTGGTTACAATGGCCAGGTCTACAACGGCCAAGGCTATGGCCGCCCCAACTACGCCCCCGGCACTGCTCCCTACCCCGAGTACGCTCCCGGTACCGCCCCTTACCCCGAGGTCACCAAGCGTGACGAGAGCGCCAATGAGGCCAACGACTTCTTCGTCCCTGGTCCTGCTGCTCCCGCCACTGGTTACAACGGCCCCAACCCCGGCTATGGCAACGCTGGTCTCCCTGGTGCTGCTGGTTCCCGCTGGTACGCTTAAACTGAACTATCGGGCGATGGTTGATAGTTGATTCGATACGACACGCTTCCCTTTCTTCTCCTTTCTTTTCCTTCCTTGATGCGTGACCGGGAATCTTGTTAGATATGGAATGGTCTCTTCCGAGTTATATATTTCGGATATCCATATTAGGATGTAATGGACATAATTCGTTAATGACGTGGAGGACGAGTTGACGTCTTTGCTTCTTAGCTTTAGCGGGTTTGTTATTTGGTTTTTGGTTTTTATCTGTCTAGTCACTCCCTTGTGTATATGGTTGTTATTTGCAATGAATTCTCTCCTTGAAATTTCTGCTTCGAAATTGTAAACTTGGTTTTTGATCCATACCCAAGAAAAGTAGCCGGGATTAAAGCCATCATCTGCTAAATATATAGTTATTGTTGCGACGGAGTTGTAACTTCCAATACTAACTGATGTTGGACTTTATATACAGCACCTGCCCATAAAAGAAATCAAGAGAAATATTAATGAATAGAGAGAAGTCTATTTTATTTTACATATTTTTTTGAGAATAAAAAAAAATTCGCTAATTATGGATTTAATGCGCTATGCATTTACATATAGAATGTGAGGACCTGTGAAATCGACGCCAAAATGACCGCTACTGAGGCCATAAACGGCCGCATTTCCACCCGTAACTCTCAGCGGTGAGCCGCCGCTGATGAAAGTAACATTGGATTGATAGTAGGCCCGAGTACCGAAAGCGGCCTGGTATCCAAAAACGGACGTATCCTTGTACTTAAATAAGGACACCATAGCATGCATTTTAGATAGTTAAGCACTCATTATATTGTCAAGGTGTCTATAGATTTCAATATCACACTCTTCGTCATATAGCCTTGTACAGTCCGGATTATCGACTCCCCGATTCCCCGATCCTGAGCTACCCGCTCCGTTTCAGGTCACCAGTGTTAGTACCTGTCGGAATCACAGCTTAGTCAGGGTCGAAAGTACGTATCGAGCGTATATGGTTGAGGTCTCTGATTCTTGCAAAAGGGAGCTATCTAGGATCCTATATAAGACCGTTGACTACCTTATAGAGTATGCTAAGCGATTGTGCGGTTTCAAAAGCAGTAATAGCAGAGTAAATACGCTGCTTGCGCCATATGATATCAGCGAGGCATTAATCAGGCATCAGTTGGTATTGTTCGGTAAGGAACCTCTACATTCCGACAGCAGGCTGGCACCGTGACAATATCCTACTATAGATTTACCATTGTTGGCTCATTCTAGCCATGGTCAGAACATAAGTTAGAATTAATATACCAGTTGGCCTGTCTTTTGGCGTATCTGCTGCTTGAGTATGTCTTGAGCTTCAGTGTCCTGTGCTGCATCATCATGGCCTTCTGGTAGAGATACTTCTGCAGAGTCAGAGATTAAGTTTTCAAATTCATCTGTAGACATCATGGTTTTCAAGCGGTTTTCTTGTGCATATCACCAGGTGCCATGTTGGAACGATCCTTTCAGTTTCTCGCAGAAGTTCTTATCAATGATTCGGTTTGGATTACTCGTCGATGCATCAGATGTCTACTGCAAAACTGCCGAGGAATGCATTTGAGATTTCTTTGTGAATGCGGTCTTCTTGGACAATACTGGTATTCTTCTGCTCATGGTCTTTACTTGTACTCGCACTGCTAGCCGGACTGAGCACGTTTGCGAGGTGGCATCTTGTCTTTGAAGGTATTCAGCGTGGAGCCATCGACCTAAGGTTCGCAGTCTTCGTACGACTATCAGGCACTTGAAGGAGGCACGACTTCGCTTCCTATGTTCGATCCGCAGTGAGACGGTTTCAGCCATATGAGTCAGTAGCTGATAGACTTGCTCCTCGTGGTGGGGAGTTGTAGACGCGTAGAGGTTGGTGCCAAGCCTCCGGGTCGCGCGGGGCCGAGAGTGGCGATCTCGGCACGCTAAGCTTAGGGCTGAAGGATAGATGTGGAGTCGATCGCACGAGCGATTTTTTTTTTTTTTATCTCAGGTCTGACTACGGCGGAGCAGCGTGGTGACGAATACATGCTTTCGTACATGTTTTCCTACTGGTCTGAAGTCGGGCGGTTGTCTGAATATGTCATGGACTCGGAGGGGTGCATATGTAAAAGGTAAATGGAAGTCAGACAATGTACGCCCCAGTTTGATTCGGGCTTCCAATGAAATAAGTAGTGTCCAGCCCACACACAGAGCCGAGACACGTACATACGCACATACACGGCACGTACGCACGCACGAGGACAAAGAAACAGAAATATCAAGGAGACAAGCCGATTTTCGGTCTCGGTCTCATGTCACAAAATCCAAAAAAAAAAAAAAAAACGCCAAGTTAACCTCCCAAGTTTTCGTCTAATCGTTGCTAAAATCAAACAAAATTTATGAAGCACACGAGGCTTCATCATCTTCACTCAGACTGGGCAATACACGAGATTGTGCAACCGTAGACTGTTTCCGCTTGTTCTTAGATACCCTTAGCGGATCCACATAGAAGCAGAGTGTCTGTTCGCCAAGACACTGCGAGCAATGCGGTCGTTGTCCATCGCAGGGTATTCCAGCCATTCGGCAAGTTTTGCATGGCGAGTTCGTATCATCTGCACCGGACTGTCTCTGTAGACCCGGGGTAATATCGAATTGCGGAAATGCAGAATGTTCCGGGGCGATGCTAGGAGGACTCGTAACGTTGTACTCGTTGTAGTCGCTTTCGTGGTATGCCACTGGCCAGAACCACTGTGACAGGCGTCTGAGAAAGCCGGACTTTGGTAGATCGTCCTGTCCGAGGGGGACACAGTGCATGGGATTCGAAAAATGAGGGGTGGTCTGAACGGCGGCCATGTTTCGGTGATATGTGGGGATTATTATGGGTTCTGCTCGCCACAACAATATAAAGTTAGTGTGTCAATACTAGTGCGTGCAACCTTTGAGTCCTGTACATACCGGTCAAGATTCAACAGTCGGGTTCCAGTAACGATGTAATGTGAAGAGAGAGGGAAGTCGGACGAGGAGGGGAGAAGCAAAAGCAGCTTAGCAAGAAGCCGGACAGATGGTGCCTGTAGACAGCAGCAGTACAGGCAGCCAAAGCCAAAATGAGTCTTATGACAGCACTCAATGACAACTCGGGGGATTAATTGTCATGCAGCAACCCGAAGTGTCAAGTCAGCCCAATGGCTGCCAAAAAACAACGCATCTGACAGATGTTAAGCGCCATTGCCAACTGGACCTGCAGGAGAAAGGAACCTCGGTTGGTTGGAAGAAAATGCCGAAAACGCCTGCTGTTACGTCAGATTCATCTCATCGGGACTCAGGCACAATCGGTGCCTGCAGCGCAGGGATCCGATCAGGTTAATTTAGAGTTAAACTGTGGAATCAATAAAATATTGCAATCCACATTCTAGTCGCTATATAAGAAACAGTAGAGAATTGCTTTAATCTCAATAACAGATAGTCATGTGATGTTACTGGTACCTTGCGAGCCAGCATTCCCCGGATCTTATCGCCGGATGACCTCATTTCGGAAACCCTGTCGACCACGCCACATACCTGGGGTGACACCTGTGGCGCAACAATGTTAGCTTATATCCCATTGTTTGAGTAATGACACCCTCTGATAACATGTGCTGCCATGAAGAAAGCTGCATTCGAGACTACGCCCACACTAATCCAAGGAATCCAAGAAATCGACCACCGCTATAATGAGTTCGCGCATTTTGGACACCATCAAAGGAGATCACCGGGAGATCGAATCGGTTTACAGCAGACTCAAGCAAGCCAGCGATCCAGAGGAGCTCACGGCTTACCAGAACAAACTCACCTGGGAAATCGCCCGGCATGCGGTGGGGGAAGAGTTGGTGGTAATTCCGGCGATCGAGAAGTACGTCCGGGATGGGAGGGACGTGGCTGACAAGGATCTCCATGAGCATCGAGTGGTATGCTGCTGTTCTTGGGTATTGGTTTAGCTTACTGACAATGGCTAGATTAAAGAGCAATTGAAAAGGTTCCAGGACATGTCCAGCAGTGACTCTGACCTCCTCCCCACCGCTGAAACTCTCATGTCCCGGGTTCTGGAAAACCACATGGGAGAAACTACAAACGACCTGGTTAAGCTGGAGGGTGCTATCACTCGCGACGAAAGCAATCGTCTTTCCAGATCGTTTAATCGGACCAAGATGTTTGTTCCTACCAGAGCGCACCCTAGCATCCCGGATCGGCCTCCGTTTGAAACAGCCTTGGGGTTGATGACGGCGCCTGTGGACCAGCTGGTGGATGTATTCCGCACGTGGCCTGAAGAAGATGTTGATCAGATCGAGTAAGCTTCCCGGTGCTCCTGGTGTCGTACATTCTAATGGGGTATTATATAGGCCGGACGAGGAATATGGCTACATAAGTCCTAGGCATTGTAAATTACCTCCTATAGAGTGATTCTATAATTAGATTGATAGATGTTTCTACATACGAGCGAGCACATTGCATTAATGTATGAAATTAGACTCATTTCTCTATCCGTAGTCTTAAGTCTTAAAGCAATTACTCCTCCGGCTGCTGCTCCCCCAATTGATTCAACTTATCACCAGCCTGCTTCTTTCCTCTGTTTGTAACACGGGGATTCTGTTGAGCACTTTTGTAACGCACCATTAGTATAACGTCTACCCAACAATTCCATTAGACAAATGAGACTTACGCCTTCAAGCCACTCGCTACACGAGTAGGCTCCTTGTTCCGCTGACGAACCTCATACAGATCTTGCTGCGGTTTGTCCCCGTGTATCTCATTGTCGAGCACGTCTTGCGCGTGCTGTTTGGCTTCATTGGAGACATGGGGATTGTGCAGAGTACTAGTCTAGTGGTTAATCATGGTGCAAATCGATGGAAGGATGGGGTGCTCACGCCTTGTAGCCACGCGCAGCATTAACCATGTCCTCTCCGGAAGCGGAGACTTCGTTGTTTTCTCGAGAATAAGACATTATCGTTTATAGATGTGGGTATGTTTTGTAACGATCTGATAAAGTGAAGTGGAGCCGTGACGATCAGAAGGTATGTAGTATGGAGAATGTGATGTAGCAAATTGAGAAATTGCTTGCTTAATTCTTTTGGGGGGTTGATTCCATGATAATCGTAAGACAATTGATCTAATCGAGCGTCATATTGCCACTAAATTCGCAATTTGCCATTGAGCAATATACATTCGTTGAGGGTTACTGTTCGAATTACGTTCAATGTACGGAGTACTTCGCAGACCACTCCGTGATGCACAGTGTCACCACTGGGCGTTGCTTTTCTTTAACTAGATATTTGCGTTCTTAAGATGACCAGTTGCCTATTCAAGCATAATAATTAACTTGTCTAAGATTCTAACAGAAACATTGTAGTAGCCTTTAAACTCAGATGACGTCCCCGAAACGTCAAAACCCAAAAGTATCACGACAACCCCAAACAAACATTTTTGACAGTATTCTGACATCAAAGTGGCACTAGATTCAAGATAAAGCCTGCTATAGCTCATCTGTAATGGCTACATCATCGCCTTTACGGCCGGAGTTATAGTACTCTCAAGTCTTCGCCTCGAACGTCCGGACAACTCAGATCTATCATTACAACACATAATTTCCATTCATATTGGCAGCTAAACAAATTAACAAAATGTCCAACCGCCTTGAAAGAGAAGCCGAAGACCTCTATGAGGCTCAAAACGACGCCTCCCCAGTCGCCGGCAACGTCTACGACAGCTCCTACATCAGCGACACTCGTCCCGAGCTACGAGACCAACTCCCCGTGCAGGCCGACCAGGCGGACTATGATGACCCCGTGCAGCCCCCTTACTCGAACTCAAATGAGCAGCTTGGTATGCATTACATTACGTTGACATGGATGGAGCATGATTGAGGTTGCTGATGGTGCGTCTACAGAGGAGGATGAAAAAGAGGCCATTAACAAATCGAACATTTTGAAGGGCGATCGTACGCGTCATGCTAAGCCGCAGTCTGCGAATAGGTACAATGAGGGTCCTGGTGAGGATGACTTGCCTGATTATGTGAGGTATGGCACCTCGGGCGTGTCTGGGACGAAGAGGTTGAGTTAGGTGCATGGGGATGGGATAAGCTGTGATTAGACGTTTGGTATTTATGCATGGTTTTATGAAATGGGTTTAACTGTATAGGTTTTTTTTTTTTTTTTTTTTATTCTACTGAACTAGTCAACATAGGTACTTGAGCAGGAGACCCAAAGGCGTAGATTCACGGTGACCGAGTTTCACGTTGATGTAAGTCGAGATGGATAAATAGTTGGTCCAATTACCGAGGCCGACAGATCTCTCATATACGGACACACTCGTTTAGATAGCCAAGCACTCATTCTACCATCTATGGTGTCTATAGATACCAATGTCACCCTCCGTGTAATCTAAATTTCCTCTTCATATATAGCCTCGTGCAGTCCGGATAATCGACTCCCCGACTCGGAGTTTAACCGCCTTATTGGCTTATCCGTTTCACACGTTTTCCAGGATACACGTGAGGATAGGAGTAGTCTCGGATACCATGATGTGTTTCCAGAAAGAAGATCATGAGTTTTTACATTAATCATAAGTTTATATCTTGTACCTGGTGGAGATACTTCCTGTCTCAATATAATCCGGGATTGTCCACTTCATAGTCGGGCCATTTCGATCAAATTAACACCGGGTGGTTTTGTAGTATATATCTCACGATAAATTCTGATCTTGTTTGGAAACAACGCGCTATCGGTATCGGCTGTAGGTACCACTCGGGGACGGGGACCCGGCCGTTGTTTTCCACGGTAATACTGCCTGAAATCGTACGGAATCTTTGAATACTTGTGCTAGTTATCTGAAGTAGATGGTGTATGTGAGATTCTCCACTTATATATATGCCTATCCTTTCCCGCACAGTTTACCGTTCTGTAGCCGGGGAATACGAGCTGAGCGACATTCCATGTGTCTGCTAATAATAAGAAGACTTGTACTCGAGTAACCCGTAATACCTACTGGATATCGTGATTGTTTGTGGGAGTGGTCGGTGAGTTGCCCTTTTTGGAAAAGTATACGCATGCTCGTATCTGCAATATTCTTAACTATAGCAACGCCCTACAACATCCTACAATATTAGATCAGCATCATGCCGGTTTGCTCTTTGCTCGTGGTTGCTTAACCCCTATCTCCCCTATCTCTTCTTTTTTTTTTCTTTCGCTGTCTATGCAAGGCTGCGCTTCTGGAACAGACCGACAGCTGTAGACGTATTGTCGACGATGCACGAGACGAAGTGACAGACAAGACAACGAGCTTGTCTAGATCGATCCAATGAGACATGTCAATTGTCAATGAGGATTTCCTTTTAGAGGCGTGCTTGGTATTGCAGCCCCTTCCGCCCGGGATCCCGATCCTCGACCCCACCATATTCACCAACTCGGGGATGATCTGAAATCTCCATTCATCGCGTCACAGCTTCACAGATCTTAGCTCGTTCTCCAGATCGATTATCCGATGGTCTTGAAGTCTTCGAGATTCCGGAGCGTTGGAGGGGTGACCAGCAAAGAATGCAGGAGATCGGAGTCGCCTGTGACATTCCATCGTGTCCGCCGTACAGAGACCAGGAAAGGCAATCCACTGTTCAACTTCTGCTAATTACGGTGCTATCCATAAACAATTGACTTTGCTCCCTGAATCAGTAACCGCCAGTGTTTCATCTACAACAGCACCATTCATAGGTCATCCATGGGACCCGAAGGAAAAAGTTCGGCTGCCCCTGTTTGAGATGGTTCGGGGATGTTTCAGTTGCCGACCACTCTTTGGGCATCTTGTCGCCGGTCCCCCCCAACATGCCAGAAAGCCCCCTAAAGAAGAGAATGAAGGATCCCTGGGGTCTGGACTTTACTCGCGGGACGCCGGGAGTAGCGCTGATTCGTGCGTTACCTGGCCAAGCAGAGTTACCCTCCAATCCGCGCGCTTCGGGCCCTGAAAAAAAGAGCCATTGTCGCGTGAATGAACCGCATTGACGGGGATATTAATAGGCATACTGTTCTTATTGTCCTTCATTATTGAAGACAGAGAGCTTTATTGGCCAATGACGCTGGCTGGGCCGGGTCTTTTTTTCGTCTTGATTGTTTTTATTTGGGCTGATTGTCCCCAGCGTTGGCATCTTTTCTCACCCCTCTGTTTCTTTTCCCATACATTCTTTATTGCTCCAAGTCACAGCTAGACTGACGACTGCATTTTCGACTTTCATTCCTTCCCTTCGGACCTTGTGGCGACCTAGAGGGTTGTATTCCGTTCATTTGGTTCCTGCATTTTATCCTCTTCAATTCCTCCTGAGAACCCCGGAACTGGCTTCCTTTCCCTCTCCCTCTGAGAGTTGAATAATAGCAACCTTCTCACATTCATTATGCCTTCTTCCTGGCTCCTGAGCGTCGGGACACTCGTCGCTTCATCGATTTTCTCCCCCGCTGTAGCTGGTGGCTCGTGGCCGGCTCAGAGCTATCAACTCGCCGAGAAATGGCAAGGCGACTCGTTCTTGGAGCACATCGATTTCTTCACCGGGGCTGACCCCACAAACGGCTATGTCACCTACCAAAACCAGAGCAGTGCGGAGAGCTCAGGCTTGTTCAAGGTGACTTCCAGCGGAAGTATGTATCTGGGGGTGGACCACACGAATACCCTGGATCCGAACGGCGCGGGACGAGACTCGGTACGAGTCGAAAGTAAACTGTTTTACAAGCAAGGTCTATACATCGTCGACATTGAGCACATGCCTGGGAGTGTCTGCGGTACCTGGCCCGCGTTTTGGTCTGTTGGTCCTCGCTGGCCTCAGGATGGTGAGATCGATATAGTCGAAGGTGTCAACAAGAACGAATACAATGAGATTGTCCTGCATACTAGCGGCTCCTGTGGAATCTCGGCCGACAACGACATGACCGGCACTGTGAGCTCCACGGAGTGTGGTGAGGCCTCCGGCACTATTGGCTGTGTTGTAAAGGGCAAAAATGGCACGTCTGGCACTCCGTTCAACGAGCAGGGCGGCGGTGTCTATGCCCTGGAGCGTACCTCTGAATTCATTAAGATCTGGTACTTCACCCGCGACTCAATTCCCAAGTCGATCGCCAACGGCACCCCCGATACGGTTCACTTTGGAACTCCCATGGCACATCTCCAGGGATCCTGCGACTTTGGCGAGCACTTCTCGGCGCAGAAGCTGATCTTCAACACCGATTTCTGTGGCGACTGGGCCGGTGGTATCTTCGGCCAGGACGGTCTCTGCCCTATGAGCGATCCCAGCGACACGTTCAAGAGCTGCAAGAGCTACGTCGCGCAGAACCCTGAGAAGTACAAGGAGTCGTACTGGGAGATCAACTCCGTGCAGATCTACATGACTGGCCAGCGTCACCATGAATCTAGCCAGATCGCCTCTGCAGGTACCGCATCCGCCACTGAGGCTCCTACGAGCAGTGCGGCACCGGCAATTGAATCTACTGCAGAACCAACCACGTCCAGCGTCGCGTCGACCACTGCTGTTTCCGAGACCAATTCTCCTGTATCTGAGAGCACCCCTGTTGCAGAGTCGACAGTTTCTAGCGAGACCTCTACACCACCACCGACAACTCAATCGCCGGTCGAGAGTATTCCGGTGCCTGAAACCAGCGCTCCTGCCCCTGAGACGACAATCACCAGTGAGACCACTTCTGTGGCTCACAAGACGACACAATTGCCGCCCGAGACCACTTCATCTGCTGTCCACGCCAAACAGTCCAAATCTCGAAGCACCGTATACGTGACATCAACGACTACAATCTGCCGTCAAGGATCAGCTAGCTCTACTCCGGTCGGTGCCGTGGGTGCTAAAGAGCCCGAATCCGAAACCTTGCAAGCTAGCCAGTCTTCGTTCCCTGCTAATAACAATGTTCAAGAGCACGGTAGCCAGACTCCTGTCAGCGAAGCTCCGGCGACATCTACCCCTGTTGTCGAACCTGTTGCTCAGTCCACCGCTGAGGCTGCAGCTGGGACTTGCGCTGCTCCACACCCGACGGGTGTTGACGCAGTCGGTGCTTCTGCCCCTGCTTCGTCTGAGAGCTCTCCGGCCCCTGTCACCCAAGAACCAGTCACTCAGGCTCCCTCTACCGAGGTCCCTACTCCTCAAGCGCCGGCTACGCAAGCTCCTCAATCCTCTGAACCTGCATCATCATTCGCGGAAACGGTTGAAGACTCCGCTACTCCCAGCTCACCTGCACCCGCAACGAGCAGTGTCCCTGTGGTTTCTTCGGAACGTGCTTATGTGCCTAGCAGTAGCACGCCGTCTACCATTTCCCACACTTCCAGTAGCTCCTTCTACCCCGGATATGATGCTTCTGGCACGCCTTCGGGTAGTGGGCCAGTACCGCCTCTCTTCACAGGCGCTGCCGGCAGGTTGTCTGTTGGGGCAACCGGTGTCCTAGGAGCTGTCGCTATGGCGTTGCTGGTATAATCACGGTTTTTTTTTTTTTTTTTTTTTTTTTTCTATATTCACGGCATCCTATAAAAATTGTTCAATCCTTTGCATATCACACTATTTTGATGTTTAATCGAGCTCCCTTCTTTTTCTAGACCGTGGAAAACAGTCGTTTCTCCAACCCCTTACCATTGTCTTTATTTTGATATCCAAGCGCCCTAGCATAGCTTAGTCTAGAAATAAGTCTGCACTTTCGAACCAGCATGGTTCAAATACCTATTTTTACTTAGCGTATCATAGCCCTGATCAAATAATCCCCGTCGATCTGCACCTAAGCGCCCTGCCCAAATGTCCAGCGCTTAAGCTAGTCATTCACACCCAGATCGCCATTTTTCATGCATCAAGAATTTATTCATGCCACAAAATAATGTCCTAGCCCAAACCCCTAAGACCTTTCCTCCGCCTCCTCCGCCTCCTCAAGCTCAATTAAGAATCATACAAACTCCCACTTACCCCAGCAGAGCTTTTCCAATCCTCTGAACTAGTCGAAGAAGAAAACGCCCCACGCTAAGCACTTTTACCTCGTTCGTCTATACTGTGTCCTAAATGTCCGGTACCAGGTTATGAGTAAGTTGGGCCGGGGGGGACGACGTCGACGGTTTAGTTGGCGAGGGATTTGGATGGATGCGTGCCCCCATCTGCACTTCAATTATCTAGATAGATAACATGGGTTAACGAAACGGAGATAGGTGGCGCTGGTGTCCACCGCGCCATGTAACGCTTAGAGTAAAAACGAATCAGCATGATTATCCCGATGAAGAAGTTGCTACTAGGGAGCTGCGTATGATACAGCGTGTTGAAACTCATAGTGCGTATGGTATTGTAGGGGTATTTGCATGAGAAATGCCATGTTATTTATATGATATGCCTCTCCCAAAATGCATTCGGATCAATCTAGGAAATGGGAATACTAGTAATTACCGACTTTGGGTCAGCAGTCCGTGGCGATGAACAGAAGTATTACCATTATCCCATCCATCCGCACATTTACTCTGCGCCGGAGGTTATGCTCAAAGCGGGGTGGAGTTATAGTGGTAATGTTTGGAATATGTGGGATTTACTACATGGGAGTACGCCTTTTCAAGCGAAGCAACCCAGGGTGCCTAGATTTTTGTACGAGCGATACTTAGCGAATCTCATTGCATTACTGCGTCCTCTGCCACGGGACTTGACTGAACGGGGGAGGGAGAGGCGGCGGTATTTCAATAATGATGGTGAGTTGAGTGTTGTACGTGTTGACTGCATAGCAAATAAGTTATCTGGTTCAGGAAAATTCAAGAATCCTGAGTTCATTCCCAGGGACGCAACACCAGAGCAATAACTAGATAACATTGAAGGTGAAAGAAGTATAATTTTTGATTTCATGTCGAAAATGCTGCAGTGGCATCCTGAGGATCGAAGTACTGCTGAAGAGTTACTATCTTATCCCTGGGTACAGATTGGTTTTTGAATTTTGGCTATTCTAGAATTCAAACTATAACCTAGATGGTACCAGGAACCAAACTAATGTGCGCACACACAGAGAATATTATCTTCCTACTTCCACCTCCTTAACCAATCTCTCGCATAACACCTCAAAACCCCATCCTCAATGATCTTCAACGGACCCTCCCGCAAAATCATACTATCCCTCGCAGATTTTCCAGTGAGAAACTTCTTTTCCTGATGCTCATATCCCGATGTGTTGCTATACGTTGCCTCGTAATGCGCTGTCAATTTTACAGCGGGATTAACCAGCTCTTCACCACGTGCTTCACTGTCCCGTAGCAGCTGGAGCCAGGTCTGAAACGTCACTGTTTCGAACTCGAGGCCATTCTCCCGGAGTGTCGCGAGGAGAGATGACCAGGCAAATGTGTGCGGATTGCACAGGTTGTAAACGACATCATCCTCATCCTCAATTATCGAATAAGACGAGCCACCACTACTATCGCTCCGCGGTGAATGAGGCCGCGATATACACCCACAAGTCCCAGCAATCTCAACAATACCCCTCGCGAGTACATCAACCGGCAACCAAGAACACTCCACATCCAACTCCGGAAGAGCCCCCAACGTAACTGCAGACCGAATCATCAACGGAATAGCCTCAGAGTCATTCCAAAGACCCTTCTCAGAATGCCCCGAGACTTGTCCAATGCGTAGTGTATAAGCCCTCGCGCCTGACTTCCTGGCGTTGCTGATGATATGCTCGCCTATGAGCTTCGATCGTCCGTAGCCTATTCCTGAGGCACTGTGAAGATCGGACATTGGCTTCTCTTGAATTTCACAGGATGATGAGCCTAGTGTTGTTGAGATGGATGAGCAGAATAATAGTACCGCGGGGCTGGGTTGGTCGACTGATAAAGAGAATTGGGTGAGGTTGTGGAGGCCTTTGATGTGTGGTTCAAAGGCGGATAATGGGAGATTGAAATTGACAGGCCATGCGCTATGGATGATGAGGGAGACTGATTGTTGCATTTTGTGAAATGTGTCTTCGTCAATGCCTAGGTTAGTTTTGTCGAGGGCGCTGTTCAGGGCGATTATCTTCTGGGCTTTGGAGGCTGGGACTAGTAGGTCTTTTTGAGATAGGGTATTTAGGATTGCGTCTTTGGGGCTGGTTCTGCGTGTGAGGCAGTATATTTTCGAAATACTGTCGTCTTCCAAAAGAGTTACTAGGATATGCGCTCCAATGGAGCCGGTGGCACCGGTTAGGATCTGATCAAAGATTAGAAATAGTGGTACATGAGGCATGGGAATTAAAGGCAAATATACCACGCTCTTCTCTATAACAGACTCCAAACTCGGAGTATGCTGACTGAACAAAGAATACTTCTCGATCAACTGGGGCATCTGCGAGACTTCATCTTGAGCATCCGTCTGTCGTCCGCTCTGCACAGCACAAATATGCGTTGCGAGGCGAGCAATGCTCCCCGTTTCGAAAACAACATTATGGCTAATAGCACTGCTATTCGCAACTTTAAAGTCTCTAAGAATCAAGCGTCGCAAGTGAATGGCCTTCAAACTGTCGACCCCGGCATTGAAAAGATCGATATCTGCATCTGAGATCGAAAGCCCAACCTCCTCCTGACAAAGTTTCATCAGGTGGGCTTCCGTGGCCGGAATGTCCAGCTCGAGCGTACCGCCTTCGCCCTTATCGAGACTGGTATACATGTTTTCTATTACCTCGGCATGTTTCATGTACACCTGTACACGGATAATCGAGCCCTTGTCTGTCCGTGGACACGGAGCATCATGAGACAGGATGGTGACCATGCTACGAGTAACCTGTGAGTATTTCTCGGCTCTGGAATTCGCATTTTGAATCGTTGGCCATATGGAGTCAAAATATTCCTCGTCAGAAAGACCCTTGGACTCCTCAGAACGAAAAACGAGCAACCCAGGAATGGCCTTCCCAACTCCAACCACAACGGCTTCCTGAACCAGTGGATTCTGCTTAATAGTACCCTCGATAGGCAGAGGAAGGACCTTCTCGCCGTTAACCAACGTGATACGGTCGTCAAGTCTGCTGATATACTTCCATCGACCGGGGATGGTTGGATGTGATTCGAAGACGTCACGGGAATGATAAGATCCTGGGGGATCGTCAGAATTTGTCAAACTTAACGCTGGAAGGCCAGCCAAGTAGACGGCTTCATAAAGGGTATTTCCAATTGGCTTCATCCATATAAATTGTTGCAAGCCATCGTCGAATCGCAAATAATTCCAGTGTGGATCATCTTTTGGGCGGGAGAAGGAATCTGCAACAGTGCCTGATTCGGTTCTATATTAATATCAGCAATCACTCAGGTGAAGTAAGGAAAAAGGTTGGCTTACGAGCCAAACTGGACACCGAGTGACACTCCCTCACGCACCAATCGGTCGCCCAACTCATCGGGACAGGCAGCGCCGCCGTACGTGACGAGCTTGCATCTTTGAAGCAATTTAACACCGCGTGGATCGTCTGACAACATTTGCAGTATATACGGAACCGCGTGTACAGATTCTGGCTTCGCTTCTTCTATGGCTGAAACCAGACCTCCAGCAGTCAGGGGTAGTGAGACATTCCACATGAATGCCGTCTTTCTCATGTACATAGTTGGTAGGTATTTGCAGATACCGAATGAATGGAACCAGGGGAGTGGGATGAACGCCGTCATTTCTGATCCCCGTGTCATAAAAATCTTCAGCACTTTATGGGTGAGGAAGATAGGCTTTGGGAATCCTGTTGATCCAGACGAATGCATTATGATCGCAGTACTGTTTTCTTGTTCTTCGTGAGGACGGCTTCTTTTCGGCACCGAAACGGATGGTGAGACTTGTGCTTGGCTTAGAGACTCTTTTTGGATTATAGAGCGACATACAATCACCTTCAACCTTGATGCCTCATCTATAGTCGTTCGGATAGTGGGATACTGTGCGTAGAGAATGGTGTCACAACCAACAACATCAAGCAGAGAAACACAAGCGGCGGCGGAGAGACGAGTAGACAATAGCATGATGGCATATCCCAGCCGACTGAGGGCAAATAATGTGATAACCATATTTAGATCTGAAGGTGCGAGCAGCGCCACAACGGATTTATAATCATTCTGTAGCTGATAATACGTGAGCGATAATAGAGATGAGAGCGTCTTCGACACAAAGCTTACTGGTCTAAGGCCTTGGTTTATCAGAATTTGGGCGGCCTGGTCAATCATTGCATCCAGATCCTGTCCAGTGAAATACTCGTATGATGCAGGATCTTTTTCAAAACTTGGACGCGCGAGAACAGGCTGTTGAGTTTCATCTGCTGCTCGCAGTCGAATAAGATCATCAAGGACATGCGGGTTTCCAAAGCGTCTGAATAGCTCCTCTGGAGTCGAGATACTATTCTGTAAGGCGCCTTCGCGTTGTTCAGTCTCCATTATAGGCGAAAGTACCCTAGGAAATCTTCCACGCGACTGTTTTTAGGGTAGCAAAATGAGCTTGGTCGAGCTTGATCGATACTTGAAGTCGGAGACATTGTGGGATTTATATGAGTTTCTATACTCCGGAACGTTTTCCTTTTAAGCTAGCTTGGCTTTTGTTCTGTCGCTCGGTTCCCTTCATTCTCAACATACGGAGTAATTACTCCGTGGTATGAATTGGTTTTTGTGGGCCCGAGGGCTGAAGTATGCGCGCAGCTGAAGCTGAAGTACCCGGGATGACATCAAGGATGCGCATGACGTTCGCTAGTAGACAAACAACAAAAGAAGTATAGAAGGATAAAGCTGAGCTATGATCATGCGTAATGAGAAATATCGAAGAAAGCACCCATAAAGCAGATCACATGAAACCATGCAGTCATTTCCGAGCAGCAGAGACAGGCCGGATTTCGAGACTGCAGATGTCTTTGCTCACAAGCCCAGAGATCAATTATTTATTCCCCTTTTCAATTCGCCATTGGATGGCCTTATTACCCACATACTCGCTGTCTCGCCAGTCAAAGCATTGGCGTTTGTGATCCCAAAGCAGGCTCCTTCCCTGTTCAGGTTTCCCAAGCCTCCACTGCGGCTGAACCTTCAGCTAATGATCTGTAAAACCCGGTGGCGTATTGACGATGACAAATAACATTTTGGGACAACTGAGCCCCCTAAATATTTAAAATAGCGGTTCGTCATCCGCCGGAAGCGGCTGCTCTGGAACGGGGAAATAATAGAGAAACGAACAAGGGAATGTGACAGTGCGATCAAAGAGATTGGGTTCGTCCATTCGATTATGCGTCTCCGATTTAAGATGGTACAATCATTCTGGCATAATATATAGTGCGCCACGGTTGGGGTTAATGGGCATAGATATGGCATTGTTGACTTTCACAGAAGCGTATATTGATGTTCTGTTGGCGGACCCAGGCGAAGGTAATGCTGCGGGTTTCGTGGTTGGCAAAGACCAGTGGTAGCTCGACTTCGATATTGTCTAATAAGCCATGGTGGAACTCCATCCATATGTTAGGATGGGGACCTGGGACATAACCCTCATCAGATGGTGATAGTCATCGAGAGCACCAACATCCCCTCTTATAGGGGTACAGGACAGGCAGCTCCTTGTCTAGCAAAGCGTCACGCCATATCTATGTGCGAAGTTTGGGCAAGGAATTCGAGAAAATAGGAAACGTAAAAGAGTCCATGGTTTTGGATTATCTGCCTATTTGCCTATTTGGCTTCTAGCGAAAGGCTGTCCGGGGTGACAGATGGGCCGAAGACCGTTTGCTTGTTTAGAACCTGACCGAGTCGGAGTATTAAGCATACTGGAAGCAATCTTACTGTCGTTAGTAATATCGAGAAATATTACAGATGATAAAATGGTGAATTATCCAACTCGGAGCATCATTGTTATTTCTCCGTTCCTCAGAAATGTACTTGTATTTTGTAAAGACAACAAACCGGGTATCCATAACTCCATATAAAAGAACCGATAAAAAAACAAATATCAAAACCTTCTCCCCATAAACAAAATCAAATCTCTTTTTCCCTCCTCACTCTTCCTACCTCCCCCCTCCGAATTTCCCTCTCCACATCCTCCAGCCTCCCCTCCCACTCAGCCCAACACTCCCCACTCCCCACAAGACCGACCTCATACCACCTCTGCAATGCCTTCGCAGTCCTAACTCTCAGGTCCGAAACTACCTTTGCCTGTTCATCCTGGCCCTTCGATACGCGATCAATCTGCGGTTGCAGCTGGATCAACGCGGCGGATGTCGAGGCATCGGGGATGGGGAGGTCGTTGAGGGATGTGAGACGGGAGGCAGTTTCGGGGAAGGCGGAGGCGTAAGAGAGGACAATTGAGGCGAGGTTTTGGGTTGTTAGAGTTTCGGGGAGGGTGTCTGGAGGTGTGGTGTGGAAGAGGTCGGGGAAGCGGTCGTCTGTTATCCACGTTAGTGATCTGTCAAGGAAAATGCAGGAATGAGGAAGACACACGCAGTTGGATTACATCGTAAATAGTCGGGATATTCCTGCTGAGTCTCTCAAGGTCCTTCTCGAGACGGAGAAGACGGCGTGAGACAGTTTCGTCGAGGTTATCAGGCTTTAAGGGTAGTGAGGGTTCGCCAGTCCAGTGGCAGTCGCCGGTGAGGAGGTATGAGAGGCGGCGGAGGCGCGATTCAAGGAGTTCAATTGTTGCGCTTGCCACGGCGTCAGTTTCGAGAGTCATTGTTTCTATCTCAAGGGGGCCAAATGGCGAGTTGAGTCTTAATGGTTGTTGATGTTGTCCGCCAACTCCCCGAAGACCACGGAGTGGATATGCAAACAAAACAAACACCAGGGAAGTTGGGTCAAAAGTAGGTTTACAAATAGCTAGGAATTGCACAACTTCATGGTATAGCTTGTTCGTATAGACACTTGTAGTTTACCTCTACCTATGTACAAATATTGCATGTCGTGTCTAGCAAACGCGTGCATCGTCAAATCGTTCACACGTGAGTTTCTCATATCAGAGAGATCATTCAGCTTCCGATCCATCAGCATCATTGGATCCAAGGCCACCAGGGCCAGACGTTGACGGAACAGTGAATCCATGGCTTTGACTCAGAAGGCCTCTGCCCTTCTCCTGCATCTCTGGTCCTACAGGATCCGCCTCGTTATCAAAGGACGCAACCTGGTAATCAAAAACGTTCACTGTCGAACGACCAGCGTCTTGCGATGATGTGACTCCCTGAGCCTGAGCAGGGGCATCATTTAAAACCGGTTGCTGCGTGACCTTTGCTTCCTGTAACTCAGCCTCAAAGGCTTGGTTATCGGCATCTAAGAATCGCTATCATAATATTAGTAGGTGCGTCTGGAAAAAGAAACAAAGTACCATCTTACCTGGAGTGGCGCTTGGATTTGGTCTTCCTGTGCCGTCACTGCATTGACACTTGCATAAATAAGCAAGGCAGATCTCGACTCTTCGCGCGCAGCTCGAAGGACTTCGATCTCGCGGACCCTTCGTGCCGTATACCCGATGACATCTGTATTGCTTGGTGCAGCATGCTTGCCACGATCAGATTCTGCTTGTTGTGTCTTCGCATCTTCGGTCGAAAAGCTGATACGCCACCACTGCCATTCGTCGTCTGTTCTTGCATCGCTCTCCTGTGCGTTCTCACGGGGTCGAAGGACGTAGGTAATATGTGGCTGGGTGCATACACCTCGTAGCGTGTACTTATGGTGAGGTGGTTCATCTGGAGATGCCGATGGCTCGGTGAGAAGTTTCGAATAACCTCGAAGAGTTTCAATGGCGCCATTTTTGCGTGATTCCAATTCTATTCAAGTCAGCCATGGTTCTGAAATTGGACTGGGAGCCTGAAACTCACCTTGTAGCTTATTCACGATTTTATTTGATATAGATTTCAGCTCCTCGGCTAATCGTTGTGCCTCAGTACTTGCAGTTTCAGGCATCACCGATGCATCGCTGGCTCCACTTGCAAGACCTTTGGACAGGAATTGAGAAGCAGCGACAGCAGCTTTCTCCAATGTTTCTTTTGATCCCAGTCCCTTGTGAATGAGAGACTTGGACATAGAGAACTGGTTCATAAGACGCTCCGTCTTGTATATCTCTTCGTAAGTACGAAGTCTCTCTGACCGGAATTCACGAGCAAACTCTCTGGCACCAGTAAGATATCGATCCGGGTAAAAGACAGCAGGAATCTTTACATCAACGGAATCCGCAGAGCTTTCTAAACGAATCGTCAGAACCTCTGCAATGTTCTCGAGCCACACATCGTCGAGTTCGTCACCGGGTCGATCCGACCACATCGCACGATCCAGGACATCATAGAGCGTTTGGCCATGTTCAGGCTCCACAAATGGATCCAAACTGAAGAACTCTTTGTGAATAGGCGTGTCGTACACAGAGAGCGGCCGTTTATATGCGTTCGATGAGAACACACTCACGGATTCGTTTCCTGGGTCTGCCCTGGCGGCGGACCCATGCCATGTCTCCAGAAACTTTCCGACGCTGCCTTCTGAATAGGAAGTCATACTTTTGAGACTAGCCAGAGCGTCACTACTACCGAAAGACCGATTTGTTGAGTCCAGAAATGCCATCAACCTCTGCGCCTCGTACAAAATATCGTCCCAATTAGTATCCCCGTCCTGTACATCCTGCATGGTCACGATCTTGGGAAGACTGATCGGTTGTCCATTCCACCACTGCGGATCATGGCCATAGTCTGGAAGCATGCGATTCCTGAACAAAAGCGCTTCTCTCGCAAGCGGGATTGAATGCAGGACCGTGATCAGTCCTCCTAGGTACTGGTTATCCGGGGAAGGGCGTAGAAATGCTGGTTCATTGTTCACTCTCCTGCGGTCCTCCGGGTCAGGGCTAATGACAATCTCTCGCGAGGTGGGGTTGAATAATGTCATCGCCCAATTGCCTTCGTCGTAATGATCGCGGGTCGCTTCTCCGAACTTTCCTCCCTGCGTAGTGGTGACCCCTGTTTCCTGCTGACCAAGGTTTTGATTCAATGACATGGCGACGGCTTGCTGGAGCTCCTGCTCTTCCCGCTCCGACAGCGTCATCCCTTGTCCAGTGTTCGAGGCGCTGGGTGCCGGCAGTTGGTATTCGTTCATGGGCAGCTCGTTCATGTTTATTCTTGACGGCGGACGCGATGGAGGAGCAGTTGCATGTTGTCCCGAGGTTGGAACAGGGTCTGCGTGTTCGACCTGGAATGCTATGACAGTCCGTCAGCAAATGATAACCACTGGTCCGCGTTTGAGCCTGGCAGACATACACGACATTTGTTGGTCATTGTCAAATCCACTTGACTGTATAGGACCAAGTTCGCCGATTAGTCCCTTTCTCCGCACATCGAGCGCATCGTGGGCATTTCACCTGTGTCTGGGGCCCCGTTGGGTCTTCGAAATAGGCATTGATGGCTTTATTCGAATTGTTGTCGTTCGCCTGTGTAAGAGAACATGAGAACTCGCATTAGCTTAAGGATATCCTCTAAGCTTATCACAATCCATTCACCTTGAGGAAGCTGATAGCTTGTTCGCGTGTTGTGCTTGTGAAGCTAACGAAGTTCTCGATAGCTTCCTCCGACGGTTCGGCAGCCATCTTGAATATTTTGCGACCTGACAGCGCGATTAAAGCTGAATACCCAGGCAATCAACTTGAGTTTAAAGAGCAAGAGATTAATCAAACATGAAGACAGCATGAAGAAATCCGGGATCGCAGTTGTTGACAAACGATTATCCCAACTCAGATTGACGTCACATGACATACCGCCCCCACTTCGCTCAAAAGGGAAGGACAATACAATTCCGTCTAAATGCAAATTCAGACAAAGCCCTAGACCACAAAGAATCGGATTAAATCTAGTCACACGAATAGAACAAATACTGGGATATCTAAGCGCTACTTTAGCAAACAACTGCAGAATGCGTACGACAAAGATCTCATTCCAGCTTGAATTCCATTATTTATGGCTTGTTCGTTCCTTTCGGTGGCTATTTTTATTTCTTGGAGGACCAGGCGCCTCAAAGGGATTCTGACCAATCTTTCATGTTCAAGAGAATTTGTTTCGAGAGCCTCGATCCTTCAGGTTCCCTATAAAACGGCCCACAGGTTCGGAGCGAAAATCAACGGTCACTCAAGCGAACTAAGTTATATACAATCACCAAATCCCAAAAGATCAATACTATCTAGACGAGCCATATCGCCATGGCAAACATTGGTTGTGAAACCATCCGCATCCTGGCCGCTATCTATTTTGACATTAATTCCGTCTGCGATATTCGAAAGAGAGTCAACTCAATGCCCAAAAATGAAGACATTGGTGACTATAGGAAGGCGTGTCGACGTGCCAGCACACTAGTGAGCCAGGCTGTCTACCAAGCATTGAGTGGACATCAATCTCTCGAAAAACGACTCTATGCCCGGCGCCTAACGGAACTAACCACAAGATTAGGCTGGAAGGTATTCTCTATCTGCGCACATTCTGCAGCCTTTCGACAAGCGTTTATAAGAACAGGGGTGGTGGCTTGGGACGCATTGATCGGCCAGCTCGAAGCTAACCGTCTCAGCATTGAACTCTTTGCTCGAACTCGGAACCTCGAATGGCGCGGTCCGTTATTGAAGCACGCCAGACATAGGCTGCCGGAACTACAGCGAGAACTTGCGCCTTATATAAAACTCTACGACCAGCATCCGCACCACTTTGTTCGGACCCAGAATGACGCAGTTCGTTTGCCAATGTACGAAGGAAATTTTCAAATACACACCAACACCTGCACGTTTGATCCGAGACAATGGGAGCGTTATGTACGTGAAGGGGAAGAAGTCCATGATCCCACAGAACGTGAAGAAAAAGATGGAAACTGTTGGATTTGTTGCCAAAGTCTTGATTTCCCCTGCTCCTGTCTCCCTCCAGATTCAGGACAACTGGTTGAGCTCGTTGACTATCCTAAGAAGGGAATTGGAATTCGGGCTCTGGCTAACTTCAAAAGCGGACAAATCCTCGGCGAATTCATAGGAGAGATTCGACACTGGGATTACGAAGGTGATCCCAAGTATAATTATTTGATCACTGATGAATTTCTTGAGCCCGTTGCAAAAATTTCGCCCAAACGCTATGGAAACTGGACACGGTTTATCAACCATTCCTGCGACGCGTCTACCAAATTCGAAGTTATGGCTATCGGAAAGCGGCTTGTTGTTGTCATCCAGGCAAAACGGGAAATCGTGATGTTCGAGGAAATCACAGTCCATTATGGCGACGATTATTGGAATGATCAGGCATGTCAATGCGGTTCATCGGAGTGCGTGTCGAAGAAGCGGGAATCTAAGGAACCGCCTTTGGTACTTTCAGTCGACAATGGCGTATTAGATGACTCTTAGTCTTGTTGTTGTCTTTCATGCGTTTTGCTTCAATATAGATATAGACCAATACAACTTTTAGTTACTCCTTAGAAGCACACCGACATTGCATTTTGCACACCCCTGACAGCTGCATTTTGTGAAGAAGTTTAAAACCATCTCGGATACATCTAAATATACTCTGATCCGCTTGTACTTCGGTGTATACTTGGCCAACCCCGCAAACAACAGCCGACGACGATGCGGGGAAGCTCCATCACCACTTGGCCTCGAGCTCTTTTCCCATCCTTTTTCATTATATCCTTTTATTTTATAGAACAAATTTAATTGATTTTTCATTCTTCTACATAGCCAATTGTCTACCTAACCAGCTGAGTACGATCGAGCCCTGATAAACCGCTTCGGATATCCCGAACCACGCATCTCACAGCATTAAACAGCTTCATCGAGTAATGACCCTTTAACAAAATACCGGGCTTGTCACAATGCGCGGCGCAATTGTTTGTCGTACACGAATTATCCCTCGGTCAAGATTCGTTCACCCAAGTCCGTGGGCAAGACCAACACGGTCAATTCTGGGGTTAAAACGAGGATTGATCACGCAGAGCTATGCGCGGGGACCATCGGAAGTCAGTCAATTGTAATTGATGTAAAGAAAAAGCTCTACGAAGGTTAACAGATCTTATGTATAGCCTCCATTGATCGAATCGACCGTGGGAGATCACTTCGCCAAAGTAGTCAGTGAATATGGGAACCGGACAGCGTGGGTTTGCCCTGTTTCTGATATTATGGGATAATTTGCTGATACATTTAATTGCTTTTAGTGTGGTTGCAAGGCACCAGAAGGAACGAGTCACTTATTCTGAATTGGACGCCAAAAGCAATGCCCTTGCCAGGGGCTTGGAATCGAAGGGCGTGCAGACCGGAGACCGGGTTGGTGTAATGCTGGGGAATTCCATGGAATATGCCATTGTACGTCTGTTTTTGTTATTGAAATGGTATGAATTTGACTGACCGGTGTTGTTTGTTCAGGTAACTTATGCCCTGTTCAAACTAGGAGCTATCCTAGTACGTCCCCGATTGCAATCATGACCACCCAGCTATCCATTCTAATCCATCTAGGTACCCATTAACCTCTCCTTTAACACAATGCAAGTCGTCGCAGCACTTAACCACCTTAACGCAAGCCACCTAATCATCAGCGCCGAATCCAACCTCCCCCGAAAAGAACCGCGCAACAACATACCCCTCCTCCAACACATACTCCAAGATCTGACAAATCCAAAGCTCGAATCAGCGATTATTCCCTCCCTCCAGAACATAATTTTTGTCGATAACTCCTCCGGCCGTGTCGATACCTCGGACTTCAAATGCCTCACGCCATACAGCTCGGTTACATCCGACCTACAAGCAGATGGAAGCCCCCTTCCAGCCCGAGATCTCTCACCAAATGACATCGTCAATATCCAATTCACATCGGGCACAACAGCAATGCCCAAAGCAGCTTGTCTCACGCACCGCAGCATCCTGAACAACGGCGCTCAAATTGGAGACAGAATGTGTCTCACGCCAACTGACATCGTCTGCTGTCCACCACCGCTCTTCCACTGCTTCGGCTGTGTCCTAGGATACATGGCAACAGCAACGCATGGCTCAGCAATTGTTTTCCCTGCAGAATCCTTCAACGCACGCGCAGCACTCCAGGCTGTCCAGGAAGAACAATGTACAGCTCTCTATGGTGTACCCACAATGTTCCTCGAACAACTAGGTTTAATACAGGACGGCATAGTCTCAAATGAAGGCTTCCAACACCTACGCACCGGTATTGCAGCTGGAAGCAGCATCCCCGCGGAACTAATGAAGAAATTACACCACGTACTAAACTTAACCGAATTAACAATCTGTTACGGAATGACAGAGACAAGCCCCGTCTCTGCTATGACGACTACAGACGACCCTATCGATAAACGCATTAACACCGTTGGTAGACTCATGCCGCATGTTGAGGCGAAGATCGTGAATCCCGCTGATAAGAGCATCGTCCCTGTCGGTGGTAGAGGGGAATTGGCCGTCTCGGGGTACCTTCTCATGAAGGAATATTGGAATGATCCAGATCGAACGGCTGAGGTTATGGTTCCGGATGATGGTGGGAAGGTTTGGATGCATGTAAGTTTACTTTAGCACCAACTGACTCTGTTCAAACTAACAAAAAGCAAATAGACGGGAGATGAGGCCTCAATGTCCGGGGATGGCTACATTACCATTACAGGACGTATAAAAGACCTTATCATCCGAGGCGGGGAAAACATTCATCCCCTAGAGATAGAGAACTGTCTCCTTTCACATCCTGGTATCGGGGACGTCTCTGTGGTCGGAGTCCCCGATGAACGGTACGGAGAGGTGGTAGCGGCTTTCGTCATTCCAAAGAGTAAGCAAAGCCAGGAAGAATTGATTGACGAGGAGAGTATCAAAATGCAAGTTCGGGAGAAGCTAAGCAGTCATCTTGGTACGCCTTTCTCTTATTGCCTACCGCGTGGAATCGTCGTGCTGATACTATAGTAGTGCCGAAATATGTCTTTTTCATGTCTCCCTCTGAGACATTCCCCAAGACGGCGAGTGGGAAGATTCAGAAGTTCAAGCTCAAGGAAACTGCTATCCGAATCTTGAATGAGACCCGTTCTACATAATAAGTTTTAGGCTAGATATCAAGGAAGGAATTGATTTCAATTCATTAGACAAACAATACCAAGCACATGCTAGCATACTCCATCCATCATGTAAAGTGGCACCGAACTAGATTATGCATAACTGCAACACCAAAAGCGCCTTCGCTCAAGGTAAGAATCCTCGAATTGAAGACAAACACCCGAAAATCAAAACATAGACGACACCTAACAAGATAAAAGATACCACCAAAGAAAATCCGTCCGGGAAGAAAGTACGTCTTGGAAAAATAAAATATATTTCAAAAAACATGTCAGATCCCTAGGGATTGGAAAATTCCCTTCTTGTTCGGCGGGAAGTGATTGTGCTTCCCGTTTGCCAATCGATAGCTACCCATTCTCGTTGCATCTGAACACTGAATTTCCCAGGGCGGATTCTCTGGGTCAGGACAGCAGCAGTCGATAGTCCTCACCCAACGATCATTCAGAGCTCCGAATATATTAAGCCGTTTTACCGGGTCTGGGTGAAGCATTCGTAGAAGAAGACGTCGTAGCACAGGTGTCGGAAGAGCTTTGAATACCATTCCACACCTTGGATAGTTCAGGCTGTCCACCACTCCGTCAGGTCTTTCCTGTAAGAATCTTTCCCAACCTGTAAGAAAGCGACCATATTTGGAATCCTTCAGATCTGCGGCTTGCCAGGGTGTACCGCAAATAAAGAGGGTAAAGCAAACAATCGCACATGACCAGACATCAAGTGGCCGTGGGTCATATTCAGCTGGTATAAATATTAGTCTCTGAAAAGACGAGTTTAGGTGTCACGACTTACCATCCTTGCTCAGAACCTCTGGCGCGATATATGGTAGACTGCCGCTTATCCCAGGTGCACATTTACGAATCTCGTCAGGATCTTGGGCGCAATCATAATATGCAGCCCGCATTCCGGGATGAGGGCCACGGAATACTACCGCAACACCGAAATCTGTAATCTTGAGATGACCCTTGTCATCCAAGAGCAGATTCTCTGGCTTGATGTCACGATGTGCGATTCCCCGACTATGCAAATGTGCAACACCTTGGAGAAGCTGCTTGAAGAAACACAACTTATCCTCTGTCTTGAGGTGGCTATACTTGAGGAGAGAGAATAAGTCCCCTTGACCGCAGTATTCCATAGTGTGAATCCAGCGACCTCGATGAGTGCAGAGGCAGGCTGATGCCACTATATTCGGATGTTGTAGGCTTTTTGCAATGGTGAACTCGGACTTGATCTTGTTTTCGTAATCGTTTTCGTTTTCGTCCTGGCTACGCTTTCGAAATTCTTTGACAGCATACAGATCTTTGCGCATCCCTCTTCTATACATGATCTTGATAGTGGCTGTGGATCCTTTACCGACTTGTCTTCCTCTTCTCCCAGGAACCACACTGCTGCTGACAAACAGAGCGTCGAGCTCATATGTGTCGGCGTGGATATCATCCAGATCACCTTCTCGTTTGGCCTTCGACCGAGCACGGGTAGAGGTTCTCTTGAACTGGCCTTTGAGGTCGTTAAAGGTCGGAAGTTTCAGTGGAGGTGAGTTGTGTTGATTGGGCACGGTACCAATATTCAGTTTGCTTGAGCCCGTGCCAGCCCTCATCAGTTTCCTTAAGCTCCCAAGCCCTAGAGAAGAGTTAGATAAAACATGATTCATCCCATCCGGAGAACCCTGCCCGTGTGGTGTATCTGACCCTAAATCCGTCAAGGTTGTGGATGCCGGTGCGGATTTAGATGGAGATGGGGTCTTTTCGCGGCCAGAAACAGCCGGGGTAAAGCGATTACTTGCGCTTTCCCGAATGCTTGAGCTCGTCCTGCGACAGAAATCGCTGAAAGAGTTCGCTGTCAACTTGGACGATTGGGTTGGCTGGAGTGTCACGGTTGACGACGAAGATGTTGATGACGGACTATGTAGAAAAGACGAAGGACCCTCTCCATTGTTCAATGGCAGATCTATCATCAGCGGGCGAGGCGTATTAGTTGAGTGACGCGGCATTGTATTCGAGGGACCCTCGCCGTTGTCCATCCAAAAATCCAGCAGCGGTGGACGCGACGTGCTAGTTGAATGACGCGACATCGTAATCGAAGGGCGCGGGAATGACTTCCAGGCATCGGTGATATTCAGTCTTTCATTTTCACGATTGTTCACCGAGAGACGGCTGGATTGCGCTTTATCTCCGACGTGTAGCTTCATATCAACGGGCGAGGGTCTTCTAGATGGATGCATCGAGTTGGAGTAAAGGAAGTTTTCATGCTCTTGTAGGAGCTCGCTCTCGACCATGGTGATTGATGCGTGTTCGGCCATGACGTTGGTGGGAGCCCAGCGGTTCCAGGACAACTATGCGACAGATACCTGGATATTGTCTAGTTAGCTGGCAGAGTCGCAGTATTGTGACAATATCTTCAGGAGCTAACCCACGACGCTATAACAGATTTCTGACAAATCGAGGGAGGATGGATTGAAAGCGATAAACAACTCGCATATGGAAAAAGGGGGAAAGCAGAAAGGTAGCGTTGTCGGAGGAAGAAGATGGACGGCTTTCCAAACGGGGAAGGCAACAGCCCCCAGGCAACGCCCTATTACAACCAGAACCAGTTCGCAGTTCAGACAGCAATTACGCAAATATAGCGTTATTTCTTTCATATAGTGAGCTACATTCGGTAATGTATTTGTAGGGACCATGAAATGGGCTATTTTATTTCAGTAACACTGTCAGCCTTGGTTCCATTCATCTGATGTTGAGGGCTATCCCAGGACTTCAGACCATCGCCAGATGATGTTAGTCATGTTATACCAGACCCGATGTAGCACAGCCATTAGGGTGCATTGCGATCAAGGCACTGCAGGGCAGTTGGCTCGGAAACCATCAATATAACAACCTGCACAGTGTATACAATTTCCCGTAACAGAGAGCAATGACAGAGCCAGGACTGTAAGGCCGGTCATAATTGAGACCCGGCCATGGAGTTACCATACCCTCCAATATTGAATCGATTAAGGAGCACGGAAACACGCATCAAGCGTGCTACCAAGTGACACGGTACACAGTTGTCCAACTTTGACTATCAGCCATGGATAAAAAATGCTTTGGGACCGCAACTGTCCGGTGCCGAAAACGTGACGGCTGGGACGCCCACTGGTGCCTCTTGGGTATTCCGTGCACCTATCTGACCCAGTCGATCATTGCTACCCCTTGAACGGTGGGTGGCAGAGGGGCTGTCACAATGCCGGTATGCCCATCTAACAAGGAAATCGTGACCAGTTACAACACCAGCTGCCCTCACTTCATCCGAAGTCTCTTTAGGAAACGTCTGTAGTAAACTCGAGGATCCTAGCAGCAAAGAACAATAGCCGATCCACAACTAGAAATCCTGAATACCCGTCTCCCCTTGTAGTCGCGAGTTGATATCACCTCCATTCTCGTCCTCGATTGTCCACTCCGGTTCTTCATTGTCAAAGTATTCCTCTTGCGCCTCGTTCCAATCATCGTATTCATCATTCTCGTCAACCGTCGCATAGTCAAAGTCACAATTTTCGCCCTTCAAAAACCGCATTGTCATCTCCCAACGCCACTGCTTCTCTCCCTCTTCTTTACTGGGGGGTATTTCGTCTCTGTCTTCCGCTAGAATTTCCCCGCTGGGACCGCGTTTATAGCTGAACATGGCGTGGGGATCCGGATGCGCAAGGGCATCCATTTTGGCTTCCGAGCGTAGTAGGTCTGCTTGAAGGATTCCTGAAAATCCTTTAGTCCGTCCTTCTGCTTCTCTTTCTGCTGTTGATTGGAATCGTCGGATGAGGCGATCGTATAGTAATGGGTCTGCAGGAGCTGCGCATTAGCTTGGAATTACCACAACAATCAGGACCGCAAACACGATCAGTTGTTTAAAAATAAATTAACAAGGAAAGAGCAGGACGACCGGCTAGTTCGAGATCCGCAGAGAAGTATTCGGGATGCATATCCAAGTAGCGCTTCCGACGGTTCTTCACGCGCACCTCGACAGAAGGCTGCGACGACCGAGACTCAGACTTGACATCCTCCCGATGTTGGTCTATTTCCGTCTCGAGTCCTGTTCTCATGGGGAAATGCGGCATAATGGTCTGTATCGTTAAGTGTTGGTGGTGAAAGAGGAATGGCGTCAAAAGGAAAGGCGGCGAACCGGCGGACCAGAAAGTCCCCGTCATCTCCGACAGTTAACCAACCAACAACAAATAACAGTCCGCGCAGGCCAGAATATGGAGATTTGGCTTTCTATCTGAGAAAATACACTAAAATACCTGTAAGTCCAGCTTCCAATTGTTTCATATTGCGTCCCTTTATTGTTGTTGCTTTGCCATGTTGGGTTGTGCTCCAATCGGTGTTTCTGGTATATTGGCAGAGCAAGCAACAAGAGAAGAAAACAGTGGGATAGTATTGACAACTTCTTCTAGTTTCGCCTTACGAGGCTATTCATTTTGCATTGAGGTTGAAAGGAGGATTTCAATTTGACAAGTGTCTCTCACCATGCCGTCAATCGACGAAGTGATTCAACGGGCCAACCCCAGAAAGGTGTTCACAGGCGTGGCATTACTGGTCCTCACTGCCTTCTATTCCCCAATCTTTGTGTTGACTTTGGCGCCTGTGTATGGATACGCTCCTGCAAACATCTTCCATAACTATGGCGCGGCACTTACTGGCGCTGCCGGATGGTTCCTGAAGGACCAGGTTCAGCGACTGACGAACCGACGAGCGGTCTATTTACTTCCGGTGCTGGCGCTCTGGGTTCCTACGGTTGAGTATTTGTTGATTCAGCAGAGCGCAGGGCTTGGCAATCCAACTGGTCCTGTCATCACGGGTCTGCTCAGCTACTACCCGTTGGTTTTCTTCTCCGTTGCCTGCGCTGGCAAGCTTATCCAGACTGGGTTGAGATTGGAACAGGAGAGCGATGTCCTCGCTGAGCATGTGCCTCTCCTCACGTCCTACGTTATCTACTCCGCAGGAGAGCATTTCGCGAATGCATTCATTGCCAAGTGCATTGGCACGATCTCGCTATTCTCAACTGCCGGTCTGCAGCTTCTGGTTACGCTTGCGTATGGGGCTGTCGTACCATCAAAACTGTTGCTCCTGGCCATTCCATCGATTCTTTTCTCGCTCACCTCTAATGTGCACTTGCCCTTTGGCCACCCGACAAAGGCGGTGAATGCTGCTCTCCAGCATGAAGGTTACGAATTACTGACCCGGCAAGACTCAACCACCGGTTACATTTCCGTTCTAGAGAACTTCCATGACGGCTTCCGCGTCATGAGATGTGATCACAGCCTGCTTGGTGGACAATGGACGCGGTCGCCACAGACTCATGCGGCCCCGGTCCACGATCCTATCTACGCGGTTTTTACCATGTTGGAGTCTATCCGTCTGATTGAGACCGACCGTGGGGAGGCTCGAACGGATGAGAACAGCAAGGCACTTGTCATGTAAGACGCTGCAGTTATTAGCTGCAAAATGAGCAATTTTGGCTAATGACATACAGTGGGCTCGGTGTTGGCACGCTCCCTGCTGCGTTGATAAACCACGGTATCGAAACTACAATCGTGGAGATTGATCCCGTCGTACACAAGTTCGCCGGCCAATACTTCGGCCTGCCTTCAAACCACATCGCAGCTATCGAAGACGCTGCCGCTTTTGTAAAGCGCTCTCAGGTCTCTGAACCTGCGAAGTACGATTACATCGTCCACGATGTCTTCACAGGAGGTGCCGAACCCGCGGACCTCTTTACCATTGAGTTTATCCGCGGTCTGGCCGCACTTCTCAAGCCAGATGGAGTAATTGCCATTGTCAGTATCCCCTTTATCCATCCGTTCATCCCCCTGTACCACTAACAAAAGCTACAGAATTACGCCGGCGACCTCAACATATACCCCTCCGGCCTAGCCGTCCGCACCATCCGCGCCGTCTTCCCAACCTGCCGCATTTTCCGCGAAGAAGCAGCCCCCGAATCCAACATCGACTTCACGAACATGATCATTTTCTGCAAGAAAAGCTCCGCCACTCCTCTCACCTTCCGCGACCCCGTGCCCTCCGACTACCTGGGCAGCAACTTCCGTCGGTCCTACCTGGTTCCAAAGCATGAGGTTGATGTGTCAAGATTTGCTGATCATCATCACCATGGTCGGCCGGTATTGATTGCGAAGGAGACGGGAAGGTTGCATAAGTATCAGGATCGGAGTGCTTTGGAGCATTGGGGGATTATGAGAGATGTTGTTCCTGATGCGGTTTGGGAGAATTGGTAGTCCTTCGGTATAGGGATTATAGGGAGATAGGTTGTATTGTTGGTAGTTGGTTGGGGATTTTGTTGTCTTTGCATTACGATAAGCGGGAAATCGCTCGATATGTAGTTTGTAATATAGCTTGGTATAAGATGGAAAAATATATCTCATTTGAGACAATAAGTGTTGGGTGAGCATTCCGATATATGTCCCCATTCGGCAACAGCAGTGGTAATAGAACATTAACACCTGAATCTTGACCTTTAAAGTATTCATTATTGAATGTTTCAAAATTGAACTTAAAATTGGTATTCACATTGATCTTCATAGCAGCGCTAATGAGACACCATGTCCAATAAACAATGAAAAATCCACATAGTGCAAGGGGGAATAAATAAACTAAATGAAGTAATTATTCAGACGACGCCTCTCCTCTTTCCTTCCTCCATTCCATGTCATCTCTATCCCAGCAAAACAAGCCAGCCCAAAGCGTATGGTTATCCATGTCCATACCCATCTACCGTAGATCAACGACAGCAACAACCTTAATGCCCGGATTCTATCTATGTGACGCATGAACGGTGAAAATATGGTAATGTGTACAAACCAAAAGGGAAATAATGAAAGAGAATGTCGCTGGAGAAGAAGGCGGCATGTAGAGATCGGAATCGTAAGGACGAAATGGTCGATTATGCTGAAGGACTTCCACGAGATTGAGGTTTGCGGACTAGACCGGCGAAGAAGTCGGCGAGAGCTTGGTTGTGTGCTTTCTCGTCTCCAGTAGATACCAGGGCTTCTTTTCCGCGTTTGGCCTCGCGTTCCTGCAGTGCCAGTCGTTAAAAGGGACGTTATTGACAATGAGCTGGGGTTGAGATGCTTACCTTAATACCCTGCAGCGAGGCATCGACATCTACCTGGATACCGTCCTTGTTATACTCGACGGGACCAATGTACTCATTGACCCGCCCGTTATTATCCAGAGGGGACATTTCCATCTGAGGCATCTGGTGCACTTCCCTATCCTTATCATCCTCCTGTTTCTGCTTATCAAGAACTTCCAGTTGCTTTGCAAGGAAGCTCTGCATATCCGAGGTCTCGACTTCCACCTTGCTGTCGCTTTGTTGCCGACCAGGGGGGGCGATTGAGTAATCCCGCTTGGGATCTTTGATCGTTTGCTCGAAGATTGCTACTGCGCTGGAGCCGTCTTCTGCTTCGATACCATCCTGCGGTGCGTCTTCTGGAGACTCGTTATAGTTCAGCAATTCGGGTGGGTCTTGGATTTCGATTGACCAGGCTGTTGATACGCCTTCCATGTCGAAGCCTTCTCTGATAATCCGGATCTTGCCCCACGAGTCCCAATTAGAGGGGACCAGGATCTTGTCGCGGTCGATAACGTTATGTTTAAGGGATTGTCTCTTGAGGAGCGAATGTATCCCGAGGGAGGAGTGCAATAGGCTTTGTAACGAATTTGCGAGGAACGGTGTCGTGTATATGAGTGATGCGCCATCTGCCGATTGTCAGTGTTTGTTAAACAAGCTTGGAAACAGCGCAGACATACGTTTGAGGAGGATCGTTCTCATAAACTGAAGGATAAAGTCAAACTCCTCCTCGTGCCAACCGTGCTCTTTCTCGAGCTTCTCGATTTTATCGGCCTGTTTCAGAGTCAGCATTGGAATCCCTTTCTTTATCGTGTCTAGTCGATATACGTACCCCCTGACAAACCACACACATCGGAATCCCCAGCGGTTCATCCCATTCACCAGAACCCAGGGGTATCGTAACCGGTCCCCCAGAGCTAGCCAACCCCTGCGCACCCGCGGAACTTGAATCCATAGCCCTTTTGCGATCTCTCCATTCAACCATTGTTTCCTCCATAGCAATCTTCGTCGGGTCATCGAGCGAAATCAACACTTGGCGAAGAAGACGGATCCATTCTCTCAGTTGCCGGATCCATGTCCAGGGGTCTGACCAGTCTAGCAGGAGCACGACCAATGTTTCCGGGACGGATTGAGGGGTCAAGAGCGGTTTGAGGAGGGGGGCAAAGGACGGCGAAGGTTCGGAGAGGAGGTATGCGGAGACTCGTGCGAGAGTGTCTTTTGGGACAGTCTGTTAGCTGGCGAAAGGTGCCAATGTTAAAACAGATGTCTAGTCACCTTCTTGATCAGCATCCAGCACATCCTGATATGTGTATCCCAGTGCAAACTGGTTGGCGATTGGCGGTATCCTCCCTTTGCGCTTGTCGTTTGAAAGACCAGGTTCCGATGTATCTGCAGAAAATGTCTCTAGGAATTCTCGCTGACTCTCCGGTGTCCCTCCTGTAAAAGAAAAGATTAGTACCTCTCACAATTTCAGTCTGGCGCAGGCCAAAGCAATCCAAGATGCTCCTTCGTCTCATAACAGTAGAAAGAAGATGCCACGAACCCAGTATCAGAAGATTCTTCTCCGGCAATCGCTTCCCATTCGCAACATTATCCAACATGGACGACCAGATATTCTTCTTGGGCCCATCTTTGCTCGACGGTCGACTGTTCGACCGGGTGCCAAATGTCGACATGATCCGATCCGTTCGATCTCAACGTTTCAACCCGTGCAGACCATTCCAATACAACAATAAATCTCTCAAGGAAATTCGACTCAGACGACGCGTAGACTTCAAAACGAAGATGGTGGTAAATCAACCGGGTGTCGGAGCGGAAGTTCCAAGTCAGGGGAATCTTTAGAGGGCGGAATATTAGCGGTGCAGGTAAACTGGGATACAAGCCAGGCTTTGGGACGAAAGAATCCCGTGGCCGTGCTAAAATCTCTTCTTATCACGGAGCACCAGAAAAGTATGGTGAGCGTAGGGTGCGTTAGTCGGTCACTGTTCAGTCAGCACGGAGGTTGAATTGTATGGAGTCTCGCTGGTAAACAAGCGGACGCAGTTTCGCCCGCCGGCGCTGGGTGGAACCTTGCGCGGAGGCCGTGAAGAACAGCGACGACGTCTTTTTCCTCGCACCAACGCGCTCCTGCAAATTCAGCACGGGAGTCATGCAACTGTCGAAATATTGAGATTTATATTTATCTTTGCAAAATGAACAATATCCGCCAAATACAAGCGCTCAACAAGCGCGAGCTCGAAAACGCAGTGTATGTCCCATGTCCTTCCGTCCACCAGCTACCAATCTCAACTCTCAACTAACCCTCAAATAACCAGACCCCCCGCAGCATCCTGGCACGCCGACTACCGCGACACCGCCTACATTTATATCGGTGGCCTGCCCTTCGATCTCTCCGAAGGAGACGTGGTGACCATCTGTTCGCAATTCGGAGAACCAGTGCACGTGAACCTCGTCCGCGACAAAGAAACAGGGAAGAGTCGAGGTTTTGCATTCCTGAAATATGAAGACCAGCGCAGTACAGACCTTGCTGTTGATAACCTAGGCGGAGCGACGGTTCTGGGACGGGTAATCCGCGTGGACCATGTGCGGTACAAGCGACGCGATGATGAGGAAGAAGGGGATAATGTTGCAAGGCTGATGGGTGATGAAGTTCCTAGTGATGCGGGAGATCGGAAGAAGAGGAGGGGAAGTGAAGAAGAGGAATCTCGGAGACGACCACTGCTCAAGGAAGAGAAGGAGTTGGCTGCGTTGATTCAGAATCATGATGACGAGGATCCAATGAAGGAATTTCTGATTGAAGAGAAGAAGGAGGAGGTCACACAGGCGCTGGAGAGAATGGGAACCAGTGAAAAGAAGTCCTCCCGGCGACGAGATGATAGCAGGAAACGATCGAGTCGGCATCAGCGTCATCACCGCCGCAGGCGTGACGAGGATCGAGTGCGCTCTCGCTCGCGCTCAAAGGACAGGAGGCGTCGCGCTGAACGTTCTCGATCTGGAGAAAGGAGGTCTTATAGGGACAAGAGGGATAGATCTGACAGAGATCAGTCACCTAGGAGGTCACGGTCGCCTGGATCACGACAACACCGGGATAGACACGACCGTCGCCATTGAGTATTCAGGTTTGGCATCATAAATTATGCTATCTATATGCTATCTTAATCTGGTCTGGTTGCGATTGATCACAAAGGAGAAGCCGACAACTCCTTCGCCAAGATCGAAAAGAAACTCGCGAGCCCATGAAAGGGCTCGACTCAGTACACCAGCATGTTCAGGGCGTGGCAGTCAGTAATAAAATGCGTCGATAGTTTCTGCACAAACGCATCTTTCTTGACGTTGTCTGCAGCGAAATAACGGAACAGCGGGGGAGAAATAAACTCTCGAACCTCTTACAAGAGGAAAATCATACCACAACTAGGGGGAGGGGCAAGCTTAGATAGGACCTGGAATTTTATCAATCCCAATCTTCCCGAATGGCTTTAACCACCTAAATATCTCTTCCAACCTTCTCTTATACAATATCGTTTCCCGTCATCTCCTTCACGAATGATGAATCTTTCCCATCGTCCATCACGGCCTGCGCCAATAATCAAGATTGTTTGGTCGTCGGACCAGCCTATGACACCTTTTTGAGGTCGCACAAACGAGGTCCCAAGAGGTGGAATGTAACTCAGCGTTCCTTCGTCACCAATTTCAAAGTGTGCACTTGCAAATGAGTATACGTCTGAGAATACTCTGGGAAGCAGGGGTATTTTGCCGAGGATACCCCATTTCTGACTGGTCCCTTCTTCAGACTGCGACGAGGGCGACTGGCTACGGTATAATGGGTTGCGTGGATTAGGAAGATCGAAGACATGAAGTGTTGACTTGTCCGATGTAACGGCTAGCATGTTGTTGGAAGGAGAGATGGCCAGTGAGAAGATCACTGCGTGGTCCACTCCTCGTCGTAATTCGGCCATCTTGGTGCAGTTGCTTGTAGAGAATACTCGGATCAACGTACCCTGGGAATGCCATAACATTAAACCGACCGATCCCATGTAAAAGTATGCCGGGTTGTCATATCTACTTACCGCTTCACTTGCTGTTGCCAGCACTTCGCCGTCCGGACTCAACGCCATAGCTCGCAGGGGTGTACTGTGTGCCGGAATAATACTGACATTTCCTGTCTCGATTTCCACCAGTTGGACTTGCCCCGGAGACCGACCCGGGAAGGCAAGCAACTTCTGCCCCAGACAAGCCAGCCCCATTGGATTATCTGATGTCTCAAAAACCGAAAGCTTGCTCGGAGGGTTGGAGAAGGCGAAGATATGGATGCTGTTGAGTAATGCGACGACAATGCGTGACTTTGATAGACGCACGCCTAGGACCGAGGTGCGGAATTCGAGGTTAATGACCCCTTTCTGCTTTACGTCGTCCCAGATAACCAGCTGGGGTAGACATGAGTATTTCTCCGTTACCGAAAATATAGTAAACGAAAGCGCACCTTATTCTGAGGAAATTTGGGCTGCTTCCCTCCTCCGACAATGGCAAGGAAGTTATACTGGCCCATCATTTCCACTACCCCAATACCAGCGTTGAAATCTATAGCCGCATGGTTTAAGCCCGGATCAGACCACGAGAGTCTCGTAAAAGCACAGTAGCATACCTCTTGACACCTTGAGTTCGCATGGATCGGCAGTGAAGACTATTTGTCGATCAGGGTATCTCAGTATCAATTGCTTTGCATGTACGAGGTGCCGAGAACGGCAATAGCGAAGACTTACCACAGAAACCCGTATCCAAGCCAACAGAGAAGCAGCTGTTATCATTATTGAAGGCAGTCGAGAGTGAAACGGGTCCCACGGATTCATCAATAACCTGCCGGGTATTCATCTTGATAACGACTAGAAGCTACCCCAGGGCTTCGGTCAAGTCAATGACGGGGTATCGGTGCGTGAAAACAAGTGCAAACAGTACGAGTGCAGAGGCTTATGTTGGATGAAATCTCTCTTCATCGAACTACTTATGCTTGTAGAATCCAGGACATGGACAACCACCAAGGAGAAAGCGATATGATGGATGTCCGCTCCGGAACTCCGCCTTAACTCCGGGGCAAGAGGAGCTAGTCCATATTTGGTTAGACGGGGATCCATTTACATTGTCTTTATGCCTTAAGGCCGATGTGCACTGATACTCTCCGCAATGCATGGAGCTTTATTACCCCAATGATGAGCTATCCAAGAATCTTCAATGCATTTATTTTTATCTTAAATCTCTCATGCCTATGTAGGCCATGCTAACGCAGTCGTATAATGCCCATGCCAACCCATTTACACTGCTCCATCATGGTGGCTGACTGATCGTATCCAAGTAGACCCAAGTATCTGTCATAACATCATATGTGAGATCCAATCAATACGCCTCAGCAGACAGAAATGATCATCCCTTCTTCCTTCTAGCCGCTCTGCCTTGGATGGCAAGCCATCCATACTCTGCTTCTCTTTCTCTTTTCCTCTCACATTCCTCTATATCACCGGAAAATCCATCCTCCCGTCCTTGAGTTGATTCTTGGGCCTGTTTCCGCATCCTACTCCAAATATCCGGATCCAGAAGTGGCTGCGGGGCTTTGGAGAAGTCGCATTCGACAATCACCGGGCGACTTCTTTCTTGCTGGTCTTCTTGAACATTATCGTTCTCTGAGAAGGCAGGTTCTCGGATCTGGATATCGGCCGGTTTGGAGCTGGGATTCAGACGGACGGACGATTGGGAAGACTTCGGAGGCAGGAGAGGACGTTTGGCGGGAATAATGCGGGCTCTGGCGGTAGATGACATGTAGCCTGATATGTAACAAGGCATTCAGTAAGCATCAGGCTATTCAGCATGGCGAGTGATTATTGAACGCCCTCACTTGGCCGAGAGCGGACCATATTGAGGAAGAAAAATAATGTCCGGCGAGAGTTCTGGATACAATTCACTACGGCGGCCCGCAACGACCCACTTGGAAGAGGAACCCCTGAGTACAAGGATTACCGTACCGTATCGTCATGTATTATTGGGGTACAATGGTCGATGGCAGCATACAGAGTATGGAGTACAAAAACAGAATATAGTGCACCCATAATGATGAATTTTCATATAGACATTGAGATAAAGAGGAAATATACAAAAGCATTGATCTCTTCTACACCTGTGCTCCAAGCGCTGTGGGTAGCTGTGGTAGAGCTTCTGATTACCATATGATACGTGCCATTGTATGGCAAAATTACAGGCCTGGTCCTTTCCATCTGGAGAAAAGCAGCGACATCTCTCATTGGTCGGAGGGAAAGGGGGAAACAGCCTGGGAAATCACCCCTAATCGGACCTCAACCACCACCTGCACCATCGCTCTGTCTTCCTCTTTCTTTCTTTCTCTCCTTCTCTCTGTATTCCCTTTTCTTTGACTTTGATTATATACGCAGCTTCAGTCTCAGGGGAGCTCTCTCTCTCTCCTTCTCTCTGTTGCCGTTCTTTCTTTCCTTCCCCTTCGCTCACCTCGACGTCTTCCCCCCTCTCACCCCCCCTCTTTCGCTTCCGCTCTTCGTCCAACCGGAAGAGGCTCAATTTCTCAATTCCACCCTTATCCATTGATTTCCCGTTGTTAAACCTCCTCGTCTATCAGAGCCCACCATGTCGTCGGCCTTGAACGCGGTATGTCTTGTTCTTTGTTTTAGTTGTGGTGTTTGACTGAGCTATGGGCAATTGCGGCTTTTTGTTCAATGCTTCCGTACTCTCGAACACGTCGCAGCTGATGAGCTTTTTGTTATGTTTTGAACTCGTTCTGATTTCAGATAAAGCTTCGTCGCAAGAAGAATGTCAAGAAGGGAATCCAGTTCTGTCTGATGGTCTGCGGTGCCAGCGGAACAGGTATGTCATGCCCGCGCTATTCCCATATCTGCCAAATGGCATGCTACTGACAATCTACTTTTTCTACTTTGCTCTAGGACGCACCACTTTCGTCAACACACTCTGTGGACAGCAAGTGCTGGAATCGAAAGATGCCGACGATGCTGCCAACGCCCATATCGAGGAAGGAGTCCGCATCAAGCCCGTCACAGTTGGTAAGATTTGCGTTTCCACACGTCCTTTGTCACCATGGTGCTAATTGGGAGACCAAGAACTCGAATTGGATGATGAGGGCACCCGAATCTCTCTTACCATTGTTGATACCCCGGGATTCGGTGACCAGATTGACAACGAAGCAAGGCATGTGGATCCACGGCTTACCCCAAACCATGACTTGACAACAGGACTGACCTTTTTATTAGCTTTGGTGAGATTGTCGGATACCTCGAACGCCAATACGACGACATCCTGGCCGAAGAATCGCGGATTAAGCGTAACCCCCGCTTCCGGGACAACCGTGTGCACGTCCTCTTGTACTTCATCACACCAACTGGCCATGGTCTCCGTGAACTCGATATCGAGCTGATGAAGCGCCTTTCGCCCCGTGTTAACGTCATTCCTGTCATCGGAAAGGCCGATTCTCTCACTCCCGCTGAATTGGCTGAGTCCAAGAAACTGATTATGGAAGACATCGAACATTACCGTATTCCTGTCTACAACTTCCCTTACGATATCGAGGAGGATGACGAGGACACCGTGGAGGAGAACGCGGAATTGCGTGGATTGATGCCGTTCGCTATCGTCGGTTCGGAAGACTTTGTGGAGATCGACAACCGGAAAGTGCGCGCCAGGCAGTACCCTTGGGGTGTTGTCGAAGTTGAGAACCCACGGCACTCGGATTTCTTGGCTATTCGAAGTGCCTTGCTCCACAGTCACCTCGCCGACCTCAAGGAGATCACCCACGACTTCCTCTACGAAAACTACCGTACGGAGAAGCTCAGCAAGAGCGTTGATGGCACTACTCCGTACGTTGACCCCCTTCCATTCCTTGTGTCATTTCTCTTCGTATTGAAAACTAACGATGTCTATAACAGTAGTAGAACCCAAGATTCTTCGATGAACCCCGAGGACCTCGCATCTCAATCTGTGCGCCTTAAGGAAGAACAGCTCCGGCGTGAGGAGGAGAAGCTCCGCGACATTGAACTTAAGGTGCAGCGCGAGATCGCTGAGAAGCGACAGGAGCTCCTGGCTCGTGAGAGCCAACTCCGGGAGATCGAGGCTCGCATGGCACGCGAATCAAGCCAAGGTCAGGCCGACGGTGCCAGTGGAGAGGCTTAAACCAGACCCTATCGAACCAACTGGCGTTTGTTCTGAAATGAGACACGGCTTCGCGGGTTTTAACATCATCTTGTGCCAACGTAATGGAAATCTGGGGCACAAAGGTAGTAATTACTCTATGGGGATAATATTGACCGTTTATTCACGTTAATAGCTTTTTTTTTTTTTTTTTTTCTTACCTTTATTGAAGAGGGGGAAACCAAATGCAGCACTCGTTCGGTCCCTTGACCTCGACTCCTGTAGGAGGATTGAGCAGGTCATAACGATGTGGATGTTGCACCAGTTCTTACTCTCGATTCCTTCCTTGGTCGTTCTTCTTTTCCTTCGCGTGGAGATTCGTTTCTTGTTTTTACAGCGCCCGTGTTGCCATGCTTGGGGTCAGATAACATCCTTTTAATTGTTGACAACCGGAAGCAGTTATTTTCTGCATAAATCTCTCATTCGGTTTTCTTTTTCCTTTTTCCCCTTTTCTGTTTTGTGTTTTGTTCTGTCATGGCACCTGTTCCAATTGAAGCAGCGCAGCAAGATTCCCTCTTCATCTATCTTTTGTGTCTCTATTATTATCCTATGTCTTCCTAGTTGATAGTAGTATTCAATGAAGAAAAGTCCCATCTACATCTATTTTCAAATCGCCATAGACCAAAAAGCAGTATCTATGTTTACATATCAACGTCGTCAAGACAGAGCCTGGATTAGACAGATGGCAGTAACCATGCCGAAATGAGAAAAGGACAAGAAAATAAAAACAAGCATTATACGAGCCAACAATATAGAGGAAATCAGATGTAAAACAAAAAAGCAAAAAGATATAAGAACAAGAATAAACATGTGGTATTTTCGCTTCATTGTACACAGAAGAAGTGGGCAAATGAATCAAGATAACCCAGTACAGATCGAAGAAATGGAGGTATTAAAAAGAGATGTGTGACAGGTCAAGAAATAAAAAAGGAAGAGGTAGAAAAGAAGATAGAGGGGAAAAGTAAAATGTAGTCCCAGAAAATGACAAGACTCACTCTCCCTAAGTGCAATGGTGAAAAAGGGTTGTTTGGTGTATGTATGGAAACACAAATTGGGGGAAGATGACGATAACCTTCCATATTCATGGCGAGTGACCGACCTAGTTCTGTGGTGCCTTGCTCCAGAAATCCAAACTGGCGACCACGTCCTCCCCGGTTTCGTCTTCGTAGGCGTAGAGAATCTGAGAGCAAGTTAGCAATGCGTGTGTTTTTTTCCGCCATGGGAGTTCCGAAACTCACCTCTCTCGTTGAGGAATGCAACATGCGAATGTTTTTGCCCGTCATTATGTGGATCAGTTCACTCGTCTCGATGTGTCTGATCTCAATGAAGTTGGGCTCAAAAGCAAGGATGTAGGGATAAGAAAGCGCGAATGCGTTGGGATTACCCTCCCAAGAAATCCTCCAGTCAGGTCTAGCGCGCCAGCCATTGCGATTGACAAAGAATGAGAAGTCGCTGTAGTTTAGAAGGAACTCTCCGTTCATTCGTTCGATGTGGATCGGCTTCACGTTCTCTTTCTTTGCAACAAAATCAAGCGAAGTATCGGCTTGATCGAGCAGGGATTGGGTCTCGGTGGTTTCGAGACTGACGACTTCGAAGCCACGAGCACAGCCAACACACAGCGTCGAGCGCAGGAAATGTATCGAGGACGATTCAGCTGGGATGTAATATTCCTGATGGACACATTGTATTAGTGATATCATTAAAAATAGAAAAAGACGAAGAATATACGAACCTTGAACGGCTTGAGTGTGTCCTGTCCACTCTGGAACATCTTACTAACAGCGGACTTCTTCTTTCCTTTGGCGAGATTGTCCATCGGCTCATAGACCTTGATGGTTGTCGACAGAGCAGAAGTCTTAACAGAGCATACTAGATGGCGACCAAGACCTATGCCGGCTTTGAAGAAGTTGGCATGGCCCTGGATTTTCTTGGGCCTCTTGGACAAGGTGTTTTGACCTTCCACCACTTCAAGAGTCTCCAGCGGGAAAGACGAGAGTGTCTTGTTTGCCAAAACCAGAAGAAGCTGATATTCCTCCAGGGTATCGATCTGAGTAACCTGACTGACATCTAGCACCTTCCTTGGTTTTGCGGACTTGTCCTTTGGCCAACGATCTGAAAGGTAAATGCCACTGTCTGTACCGTAGACCAATTTCCGACCACCGTCTGAAAAAGCAGAAATGTAAGCTTCCGTACAACAAGAAAAGAAAGACAACTCACCGACTGGAACAAGACAATTCACTCGGTTGACAGATGTAAAGAAGTGCTCACACAGCACAGTCTTGTTGTAGAAGTTACTGTTTCGCTCTCTGAGCTTCCGTTGTTGTTCTTCCACCATCTCGATGAATTTCCTTCTTTGAGTTGGCGACGTAGCATACAGTGTCTGCTCATAGCCACCCTTACCAAGGTGCCTAAACGTGATAGGAAGCCCGTCTTTCGTTGACGGAGGATTGACAGCAGCCTTGTTGGAAAGCAGACTGGACGAGGGGCGTTTCGAGATTCCAACCCTTGGAATCACTTCATCCATTTGCGCGATCACCAAGAGCTCCAGAGGAATAGGTTTCCTGTAGACTCGATACTCTTCGCGCTTATTGACCACCTTGATCCTGACTAGCAACACCGCGTGGTCAAAGAGATACGCAGTAACCTCCGAGCTATCGGTTGGTGTCTTCTTGAACGCCATCTTCGTGAGCATCTGGCGATTCTCCTCTGTGAGCTTCAAATCGACATAGTCACCAGGATTGAACTTCAAGGATGAGTCGAGCTGCACGAGGTTGAAATGATTCTCTGCTCTTCCACTCTCGGTATTGACACGGGACAAGAAATCCTTGATAATTTTGATAGCTTGGGGAATATCTTGCTTGTCCTGGTTATCATCGCGTGTGCTCTTTAAAACCGATTCGAGGAGCAGTGGATACCGTGCTAGACGGGTGGTGGGCTTAGTCAAGTAACCATTCAGCTCCAATTTGCGAGACTCCTTGAGACGTTCCGTTTCCTCCACAAATCGTGCAAAGGCCGGATTTGACGCCTTCTCTTTCTCAAATTCGTATTTTCCGTAAAGTTGGTTGGAACCATACTTGATGAAAGGTTCAAAGTTCGGCACATGTTGAAGGAAAACGTCGCCGACAGTATGCACAATATGGCTTTCTTTTTGCCGCATATTTAGAGCCTCACACAGAGCACTATTGACCTTAAGGACTTCCAAGCAGTTTCCAAACACTGTACGGATAAATTTCTCTCGTCGATGCTCTGGAATTGGAGAAAGATTGGCGTTGCCCGCAGAACGCAATGGCCGCATCCAGAAGTCTCGCAAGTATTCCAAGTCCTTGACAAAGTCACGTTCCGTGTACATGAGTTCGAAAATAATCTCTTGGCGCTTCTTCTGTTTATCGTCGATAGAGTCCGACACCTCTTTCGGAACCATGTTGATCCACAGTTTCTGGTCGTCGTTGTCATCATCACCATGCAAGCTGCCCTTGGAGGCAGATGTGCGCAATCCTGGCTGAGGTTTGATATTCAATCGGGCCTGCTGCTCCAATCTTCGGGGGCATGCTATCGAGTAGCATAAGGTTTCGCGCGTGCACGTTGGTGAATAGCACTCGGTCAAAAGAGTGAAAACTCCGTTCACATCGGAACTAGGGGCTTCCTCTCCCATGGTTTCTTTGAATTGATAAAGCTCGCCAGTAGTATCCCGGAGACGATGGTCGTACGTCACATCATGGAAGAACTTCTGCGCATCGAGTGCTCGACCCAGCAAAAGAGCCAAGTTCCGATCATTTGTCTTGACGATGTAACCAATCATATCCACTGCCTCGGCACCGCTAAAGGCATTCTGATAGGACAATCCGTTCTTCTGCCGTTCACCAAGCGCGATCTTCTCCCGAAAGATATCCGCGACCCGGGAGAGAAGGGCCGGGTAGACCAAGGGTACTTTGCTACGACGTGAAGTACTTGTGGCATGGGTAATTGTTGAGCCGTTGTGTTTGGGCTGCGACTGGCTTTGTATGCTCATCGTCCGATCGGGGACAACAGTCGACGCCACTGACATGGTGGTGGAGGCCATAGACATGGAGCGGGAGTTCGTCGAGGCGTCGCTTGGTGTTCGGGATTTGATATTTGTGTTGTACTGTGCATTGACCTGCTCTGGTTCTTGCTTCATCGGGGGAGGAGGAGCTGGTCCGGACGGATTCCTTCTGGTCGGAATCACACGTCCAGTACTCGTAGTGAGTGACTGATCCCTATCGGCCGTATACGAGGTCATCGACATAGCGCGTTCATTTCCATGTCTTTCTGGAACAACCCGGCCTTGCGCAGTCATCGGAGCGGCAGGGTGGTAAGGTTGTTGGCGAAAAGCGGTGGCAGAAGTATGATTAAAGCTACTGGGAGGCGGTCCATAAACTGGGGGCCCACCCATCCTTGCCATCGAGCGTGACCGGTAAGAGTCAGAATTCATGGCCGGGGGAGGCATCGGCCGACCGGGCACCTTCATATCCTGGTATTGGGAACCTGGAGTCGGCCTCGAATCCAAACGTTGAGGCTGTGGATAGGCAAATCGTCCTGGGTACGGCCGGGGAAGATTCTGCGGTGAAGGTTGCGCAGCGTTTCCGGGGTATGCTTGGTAGTACCCATTGGAGGAAGCTGGCGGATAGCCATTCTGCATCTGGCGTGTAGGTTGCGGCGGGGCCCTTTGCATCTGGGGATGTGGCACATGAGATGACATGGTGTGAGCTCGATCTTGAGAAAATTGGGGGGTTTGCGAAGTCATAGTCTGCGAACGTCCCGGTGGCGGTGCTCCACCAAAGATTTCTGAAAATGCAGCATCTCGCTGGAAGTTAGAGGGATGGCCGTAGGGCCGGTAGTTCCGGCCCTGTTGTCCCCCTAAATCCGCCATAGCTTATGATAGTCCTTTCTTTGCTTTCCCTTTTTAGGGTTCAAAAAATCACAAGACAAACCAACGACAGAATTCAATCAGCGAACCAATACGAAGCAAAGGAAAGGGTATCGGAACTGGTCGTAGAGAGCGTGCAAGAGCGTCGCGGGAGTCGTTCAAAATCGTGGAGGAAGGAGAGCGAAGAGAAAAAAAATTGAAGAATAACGATGCTCCACAAACTTTGACGTATAGACCAGCCAAAAGATAATAAGGAATTCTTGATACAAGAAAAGAAATGCAAGAGAAAATGAGAAGAGAAAAAAGAAGAAGAGAAAGAGGGACAAAAATCTCTTTTTCAGTATCTCATGCCTCAAATGAATCCGAACTCTGAGAAGGCCAAATTCCTAGCCTGACAATCGGACGCTGAAATCGCGTACGCGATATTATTTTAAACGACCGAAGTGCGCTAGGAGCCTTTGAGCGCAATCGCAAACCGGGCTCCTATCAGTTCATAACCTCACCATCCTCCACGGGGGGCAATTCGGATCCGGGGGCGGGCGGAGAAAACTGTCCAGCAGGGAGCCGGAGCGAAGTTGAGAAAACCAAGAGACTCTTTTCAGATAAGAGGAAGATAGCGGCAGAGGAGAAAGTAGTATTAAACTGAGTTGAGTATTGCGGGGGGGAGTTGAGAGGGGAAGGGAGAAATATGGGAGAACTGAGCAGGAGGGAGACTTGAGGAGTAAGTAATAAACGACGGACGGAAGACGGGGGTGTCGACAGGTCGTTAGTCGTCTAGAAACGGGCGTTGCCTTGGCGTAGAGATGGCACTGAAGATGCAGAGTATCGTGGTAGTGATGGTATGGAGATGTCGATGGGAGGTTGAGGAGGTGATGATAGGAGTAAGAACTGTTGGTGGTGGAGGACCGGCACGGGGGTTTGTTGGGTGTCAGGCCGGATAGTCTTCGCTACGGTGGCCCGGACGGAGCAACTTGGTCTTCTGCATCAGACACTCTACGTACCAGCTCCGACTCCCTTCGACGTCTCTACTACACTGGGCTATTATTTCGCTTTCTGTTTCTTCTTTCTCTGGATTGCTTTATACGTGCTTGGGCTTTTCTATTTGCAGTTTCTTCTTTCTTTTGCCCCCTTTCTAACCGCCCCTGTTTGAAATCGGCACCATGTCAACCAGCGAGTACACCCCAAAGTTCGCGCCTTTCTTCTCCTTTGTAAGTGACCTTAAGCGCGTTCGTTTCACGATACCTACTTGTGAATGTTGGTCTAATAGCTACGTTAGGCGGGAATTGCATCTGCAGTGAGTATTCCGTAACGTGCGTACCGGGTGACGACTGTTTCGCTGACCATCGCTCGAAGATGATTTTCGGGTGTATGTTTTCTCACTAGAAACTCAATATCACGATTAGCAGGATGGTAAAATGACTTACACGGTATACAGCAATGGGAGCAGCATATGGGACAGCTAAGGCCGGTATTGGTATTTCGGGCGTTGGGACGTTCAGACCGGATCTGATTATGAAGGCATGAGCCTATCCACAATGTCGATCAAATACGGCTGTACTGGTGTGCTGACTGGAGACAGTCTCTGATTCCCGTCGTCATGTCCGGTATTATCGCAGTTTACGGCCTCGTCATCGCGGTTCTCATCGCAGGAGATATGTCCCCACCGATAGGAACAACACCACCCACCAGCTTGTATACGTACGTTTTGCCATACGAATATGTCTCAGGGGCTAGGGATAATAATAACAGGATATACAGATCATTCATGCACCTCGCATCGGGACTGTCGGTTGGTCTTGCGGGTGTGGCCGCAGGATATACCATTGGAATTGTCGGAGACGCGGTAAGCAGCTGTGTATATAACGCGCATCTTATGCATGTTTCTAACGAATATCTCAGGGTGTTCGCGCGTATATGCAACAATCCCGGGTTTACGTTGGAATGATTCTTATCTTGATTTTTGGCGAAGTTCTAGGTCTCTACGGGTATGTATCATGGATAACGAAAGCTAGTTCGTATGCTGACGGAGAACAGTTTGATTGTCGGTCTGATTTTGAACTCGAAGAGCAAGCCTTAAATTGCACCTACCATATCAAATGATCGGTTGCTCTCATTCATCATTCTGTCTTGTTCTATTGTTCGATTATCGTGAAAATGGACCATGTATCATGTACTTGTCGGCCGGATATTGACATTCTCCGGTCTCGTACTATATTAAGCTTCCAGACCCTGGTACTGGTAATGGTCATCATCATAAAGACAGGGATCCGGTCTACTAGCTCGGGTGCCAACGGAGGATCGGATGAGTTCCATCAAGCATTGTTTTGACGCAAGATAATGTACCTTTGCCACCGGCTTGTCATGGCTCTTTTTCATGCGACATGAGGATTACTTTGTCTGGACCTTTTGCGATGCAGTTGTATATTTATACCATGGTAACACCCGAACGATTCAGATGATAACAATAATTCGCAGTATCGCATACTCGTTTTCAGACGACATGATGATACTAGAGGTGCTTTGTACCATAAAAGCAATAAATGTAAGATGAGGGAAAAGTCGGGTAGATCTCGTAGTGACTATCCTTACTACTAAGTATATACCGAGGACAGCTGCTGCCCCTGCCCCACTGGGGGTAGTAGTAATGTCATCATTCCCCTGTATTATCGCCGGCCAGCTCTGATGGCGGAGCAGGTCCTCATTTATCCCCCCCCCCCCCCCCCCCCCC